ATTTTATTTGTTTATTAATATATTTTTATCCTGTGTTTTCTCCTCTCTCTGTCCTCTCTGCGGCGTGTTCTGGTGTGTGTCTCGTCTCTTGACGTCCCTCTCTCTGTGAAGTATGTAAACATCACACGCTCAGATGAATCATTATTAATACGCAGCTTAAACAGTAATAATGCTTCTTAAACAAACTGACGTTTTAATTGTTTCCAACTTAATGCCTTTAACGCTGTGTTTATTGGCCGTGTGTTCTGGGAAGCGCTTCCTGTACACACAGGATTCATATCCATGTGGATTGAAATTCCAGAATTCATAAACTTCACCTCATGGAACCATGTAATAATAATATTTATTGCAGTGGCTACTTGGTCTGCTTTAAAAACTTGATTTTATTTAATGATGTTGATTTGTGGAGTACAAAAATGCTTTTTATTCAGTTTTTTTTTGGTCTTGTTTCCAGTCCAAATAACTAAATTCTTAAATCAAGATGGATTTACTAAAGTTGTAAAATGCCATAAAATATTATTCCTTTTTATCTGGGGGGAAAAAAAGCAAAATGAAGTGAGTTTAAAAAAAAAAAAAAAAAAAAAAAGAAGCAAAATGATCTGCCAATGGGGTCAGAAAAATACACTTAATTCAAATGGAAAACAAGATTATTTTTCTGACCCCATTGGCAGATCATTTTGCTTCTTTTAAGCAAAAACTCACTTCATTTTGATTTTTTCCCCCTGAATACAAGACATAATGTTCATAATTGGATTTTACTCATCTAGTAAACAATCTTGATTTAAGATTTTTTAGATATTTGGACTGGAAACGACAGAAATACTGAGAAAGAAAATCATCTTTTGCCGTGACATACAGGTTTCCCTCTTCAAGACAGAGGAGAATAAACTTTCTGTAATTTTTCCTTTTAGGAAAGTTCATGTTGCCTGAATCATATCACTCTAAAACATAACCATGTCGGAAGCATAACGCAGATTGATCGGACAACCGTAGTGAAATATGAAAATCTGAATCAGTCAATTCAAGAAATACCTCAGCCAATCACATGACCAAACTGATCATCATAATGACGAGGAAAGCTGATTCACGTGACTTTGAATGTGTCATGCTTGTTGAAGATTTTAGTACAATTTATCTTGAATGTAACTCGACACCCTCGCCTCATTTAGTATGCGTGGTTCTATGAATATGCAAATGAGCCCCGCCTCCACTCCCTCACTCACTGGTTGGCGATCACACGTTGATCTGATTGGTTACAAGGTCGTTTGTGACGATTTAAGGAGGAAATACTCAGCAATGCTGTCCACTTATCAACTTACACATGGTGTGTGTTAAAGCGGATTAAAAACACCACACACACACACATAAACAACATTAAAGAGTTTCACCACAGTGCATACACATTTCTTAATAATGTTTAATCATCGTAATCTTTATTAATAATTACTGCGGAGTGATACGAGTCGAGAGAGATGTGGGAAATCACTGGCCTGAGATGGACAGGTTCTGGTTCTTCTGTACCGGTTTTGAGGGGCTTTGCAGTCGTTCGTTAGAGGGTGTGTGTGTGTGTGTGTGTGTGTGTACTCAGGGCAGATCTGCTCACATTAATAATGAAGGCTCACTCCACCTGCCGTAATGCAATACTCTCTCCTAAAGAGCCGCTACACTGGTTCCCACTGAACGCCACAGTAGCTTAACGACTCTAATGCCGTCGCTACCTAATGAAGAAGACCGAGACGTTAAGTTTTAGAGCGGGTCTTTAGCGTGCCAGAACTGTTGTGGCCTTTATGAGGGAATTCAGCCATTAGTAATTGTGACCATGTGTAGCGACAAATAAAATCCTGTGAATTTATAGTTGGTTATAAAACCTCCTCCGTGCTCGTCCAGAGCTGACGAGGGCCAGTAATGGCTCCGCTTCTCCCAGTGAGGGCCTGTAATGGTTTCGCTTCTCCCAGTGAGGGCCTGTAATGGTTTCGCTTCTCCCAGTGAGGGCCTGTAATGGTTTCGCTTCTTCCAGTGAGGGCCTGTAATGGTTTCGCTTCTCCCAGTGAGGGCCTGTAATGGTTTCGCTTCTTCCAGTGAGGGCCTGTAATGGTTTCGCTTCTCCCAGTGAGGGCCTGTAATGGTTTCGCTTCTCCCAGTGAGGGCCTGTAATGGTTTTGCTTCTCCCAGTGAGGGCCTGTAATGGTTTCGCTTCTCCCAGTGAGGGCCTGTAATGGTTTCGCTTCTTCCAGTGAGGGCCTGTAATGGTTTCGCTTCTCCCAGTGAGGGCCTGTAATGGTTTCGCTTCTTCCAGTGAGGGCCTGTAATGGTTTCGCTTCTCCCAGTGAGGGCCTGTAATGGTTTCGCTTCTCCCAGTGAGGGCCTGTAATGGTTTCGCTTCTCCCAGTGAGGGCCTGTAATGGTTTCGCTTCTCCCAGTGAGGGCCTGTAATGGTTTCGCTTCTCCCAGTGAGGGCCTGTAATGGTTTCGCTTCTCCCAGTGAGGGCCTGTAATGGTTTCGCTTCTCCCAGTGAGGGCCTGTAATGGTTTCGCTTCTCCCAGTGAGGGCCTGTAATGGTTTCGCTTCTTCCAGTGAGGGCCTGTAATGGTTTCGCTTCTTCCAGTGAGGGCCTGTAATGGTTTCGCTTCTTCCAGTGAGGGCCTGTAATGGTTTCGCTTCTCCCAGTGAGGGCCTGTAATGGTTTCGCTTCTTCCAGTGAGGGCCTGTCATGGTTTCGCTTCTCCAGTGAGGGCCTGTAATGGTTTCGCTTCTCCCAGTGAGGGCCTGTAATGGTTTCGCTTCTTCCAGTGAGGGCCTGTAATGGTTTCGCTTCTTCCAGTGAGGGCCTGTAATGGTTTCGCTTCTTCCAGTGAGGGCCTGTAATGGTTTCGCTTCTCCCAGTGAGGGCCTGTAATGGTTTCGCTTCTTCCAGTGAGGGCCTGTCATGGTTTCGCTTCTCCCAGTGAGGGCCTGTAATGGTTTCGCTTCTCCAGTGAGGGCCTGTCATGGTTTCGCTTCTCCCAGTGAGGGCCTGTCATGGTTTCGCTTCTCCCAGTGAGGGCCTGTAATGGTTTCGCTTCTTCCAGTGAGGGCCTGTAATGGTTTCGCTTCTTCCAGTGAGGGCCTGTAATGGTTTCGCTTCTTCCAGTGAGGGCCTGTCATGGTTTCGCTTCTCCCAGTGAGGGCCTGTAATGGTTTCGCTTCTCCAGTGAGGGCCTGTCATGGTTTCGCTTCTCCCAGTGAGGGCCTGTCATGGTTTCGCTTCTCCCAGTGAGGGCCTGTAATGGTTTCGCTTCTCCCAGTGAGGGCCAGTAATGGCTCCGCTTCTCCCAGTGAGGGCCTGTAATGGTTTCGCTTCTTCCAGTGAGGGCCTGTAATGGTTTCGCTTCTCCCAGTGAGGGCCTGTAATGGTTTCGCTTCTTCCAGTGAGGGCCTGTAATGGTTTCGCTTCTTCCAGTGAGGGCCTGTCATGGTTTCGCTTCTCCCAGTGAGGGCCTGTAATGGTTTCGCTTCTTCCAGTGAGGGCCTGTAATGGTTTCGCTTCTTCCAGTGAGGGCCTGTAATGGTTTCGCTTCTCCCAGTGAGGGCCTGTAATGGTTTCGCTTCTTCCAGTGAGGGCCTGTAATGGTTTCGCTTCTTCCAGTGAGGGCCTGTCATGGTTTCGCTTCTCCCAGTGAGGGCCTGTAATGGTTTCGCTTCTCCCAGTGAGGGCCTTTAATGGTTTCGCTTCTCCCAGTGAGGGCCTGTAATGGTTTCGCTTCTCCCAGTGAGGGCCTGTAATGGTTTCGCTTCTCCCAGTGAGGGCCTGTAATGGTTTCGCTTCTCCCAGTGAGGGCCTGTAATGGTTTCGCTTCTCCCAGTGAGGGCCTGTAATGGTTTCGCTTCTCCCAGTGAGGGCCTGTAATGGTTTCGCTTCTCCCAGTGAGGGCCTGTAATGGTTTCGCTTCTTCCAGTGAGGGCCTGTAATGGTTTCGCTTCTCCCAGTGAGGGCCTGTAATGGTTTCGCTTCTTCCAGTGAGGGCCTGTAATGGTTTCGCTTCTCCAGTGAGGGCCTGTAATGGTTTCGCTTCTCCAGTGAGGGCCTGTAATGGTTTCGCTTCTTCCAGTGAGGGCCTGTAATGGTTTCGCTTCTTCCAGTGAGGGCCTGTAATGGTTTCGCTTCTCCCAGTGAGGGCCTGTAATGGTTTCGCTTCTTCCAGTGAGGGCCTGTAATGGTTTCGCTTCTTCCAGTGAGGGCCTGTAATGGTTTCGCTTCTTCCAGTGAGGGCCTGTAATGGTTTCGCTTCTCCAGTGAGGGCCTGTAATGGTTTCGCTTCTCCCAGTGAGGGCCTGTAATGGTTTCGCTTCTTCCAGTGAGGGCCTGTAATGGTTTCGCTTCTCCCAGTGAGGGCCTGTAATGGTTTCGCTTCTTCCAGTGAGGGCCTGTAATGGTTTCGCTTCTTCCAGTGAGGGCCTGTCATGGTTTCGCTTCTCCCAGTGAGGGCCTGTAATGGTTTCGCTTCTCCCAGTGAGGGCCTTTAATGGTTTCGCTTCTCCCAGTGAGGGCCTGTAATGGTTTCGCTTCTCCCAGTGAGGGCCTGTAATGGTTTCGCTTCTCCCAGTGAGGGCCTGTAATGGTTTCGCTTCTCCCAGTGAGGGCCTGTAATGGTTTCGCTTCTCCCAGTGAGGGCCTGTAATGGTTTCGCTTCTCCCAGTGAGGGCCTGTCATGGTTTCGCTTCTCCCAGTAAGGGCCTGTAATGGTTTCGCTTCTCCCAGTGAGATGTTTCTCCAATGGGATCATGGGACACGACTCCTGAAAGGAGCTCTGTTACGATGGCTGTATGAAACATCATCATAGAGGAGGAAAGTGGACATCCTGTCGGATGATGGAAGAATCAAACTGATGTTGCAGGAGAATGTAGCCTGATTTATTGAAGTGAATTGAGTCATTATTCAACATTAAACACTGTGTGTGAGTTTGCTCCGAGGAGTAATGTCGTTTGTGTTAACGCTAACGGTGAGTGTGTGCTCTTGTAGATCATCAAGCTGCTGGACGGCAAACGCTCTCAGACTGTGGGAATACTGATATCCAGCCTTCACCTGGAGATGAAGGACATTCAGCATGGTGAGATCTCTCTGTGTGTGTGTGTGTGTGTGTGTGTGTGTGTAAGCGAGAGAGAGAGAGAGAGAGAGAGTGTGTGTGTGTGTCAGAGTGCGAGAGTATGTGTGAGAGTGTGTGAGTATGTGAGAGAGTGTGCGTGCATGGGTGTGTGAGAGTATGAAACTATGGGAGATTGTGAGTGTGCAAGAGTGTGTGTGATAAAATTTGTGTGTGTTAAGGCCTGTTCACACCGCGAAATTCGTCGACGTTTAACGCCTCGTGACTAAACAATGGGCGCCAATGTGAGTGTTCACACCGACGCGTAAAAGCGTCATTTTTAAAAAACGCCTCGGGTTCGTTTTTTTAGAGTTTGATGCGCCGCGTCAAAACCTATCCGACCAACGAGATCGGCGGGTTTGCTCACGTGTCTGGTACTTCTGAAGTTACAGTAAAACACAACTTGGGGGCGCTCAAACACAAAACGGTCTTGCCGAGCACACATACGGCGAAGAAGAGATAAGATATGGGCAAGATGAATGTTGTTGAGCTGCTGGTTGAGCTATATGATAATTTTTGTATTAATATTTCTGTAATAATAGTATAGTATAGAGTGACCAACAGTCCTGTTTTCCCGGGACATGTGTAAAACGGTCACTTTGTGCTTTATAGAAATCTGAGTTGAGATGAGAACTGCGTAGTGTCAGTTAGATTGACCAGTGAGGAGAGGAGAACCGCTCTGCCGACTCTTTGTATTCTTTCTTTTATTTTATTTTTCTATTGTGACCAGATGTTTGTTTGTCTCGATCCCCATGTATGAGGACGAGTGTAACGTTTGAGTGGTTTTATTAAACGCGGGGAAATACGACAACTCTCGTCTCTCGTGCATCTGTTCATCCGACAACTAGTGCAATGTTTTTATCTCTGGGCAACATCTCAACTTTGCGTTACACACGTCCTGTTTCCACGTCCTGTCCTGACTGTTTTTAAGTGATGAAAATGTCCTGGTTTTCAAAAAAACTGCTGGGAAGGATCAGTTCTACAGCAAAATATAGATGGGCAAACAAGCTGGACGAGGAAGAAAAACAAGATAAAGAGAATGAAAACTAAAGATATAAATAGATTTTGTTAGTTCGTTTTAGTAAGTTTGTGAGAGCTATTTTTTGTTACATTTGGAGGCATTTCTTTTAGTTATTTATTATTTATGTATTTATTTTTCTAATACAGAAGACATTATTTCATTATTTAAGATCATTATTTCTTTCATTCGGTTTTTCATTCGGTCATCTGTCATAATAAAACATTAAGACATGAATATGATCACCCTAGTATAGTATTCTATTATTATTTCTGTTTTAGATTAAGCGCCATCTAACGTCAGGGAATGAATTTGCATGTTCACTCAGCTCATCGTCAGCGAAAAGCGTTTGGCTGTGAACACAAAAAACGCGTTGAAAAACGCTGACGAATAACGCGCGCTGATATTCGTCCTGGTGTGTACGGGCCTTTAGTGTGAAAGTGTGAGTGTGTGTGAGAAAATGTGTGTGTGTGAGAGAGTGTGTGTGTGTGTGCGTGTGTGTGTGTGTGTGTGTGTGTTTGGAATGGTTGCAGTTCTCCGAGCGCCTGCATGTCTGATCTCTTTGATTTGTTTATTGTAGCCGGTGACTCTCCACAGCGCCAACACGAGCAACACCTCCTTAATGATCTGAGTGTCAAAACTATCACACACACACACACACACACACACACACACACACACACACACACACACACACACTCTTCCAGTGCTTCAGACTCCCTTATCTCTGTGTTTTCTGAGTGGATCTGGCGGCTCTAACCTGTAAATATGAAATGAATAATGTAGAGATGATGAGTGTGTGTGTTCCTCATGAGTGTGTGTGTTGCAGCGGTCCTGACGGTGGATCACTCTGTGGTGGATCTGGAGACCATCGAGGCTTTATATGAAAATGTGAGTACATAAAGAAACCCGAGAGCGCAGAAGAATGTTCACGAGATTTTGCTTTTGTTTTCTACAGTCGTGTTTTAACAGCACCAGCTGTTCGTCTCACCAATAAAACGGCCTTTATTATTTCATTAAACGCTTTTATTAGTGCGTGTGTTACTAACTCTAACCATGAGCTGATGATTTGATCCGTTTTAAGAGGGTAAATGATATGCATTATATATAGATATATGTATATATATATATATATGAAGAGTTCAGATGCAAAAGCCTCTAAGTGCCATTTGAAATTTTCTTCTAAAATGATCATTTTTATCAAGCTTGTATATTTAAGTTCAGTAATTTCACTTAAATGGCAATGAAGATTATTTTTTATTTATTTAAGTGAAATTACTGAACTTAAATATACAAGCTTGATAAAAATGACCATTCTAGAAGAAAATTTCAAATGGCATTTAGAGGCTTTTGCATCTGAACTCTACATATATATATATATACTGTATATTTACATCACTAGTCAGCCGGTTATCTGAATGACTAGTTAGTCTTCAGGAGGTCCTGTATAAATATGCTAGTTTAGAAACTTGTCTTAGTGATAAATGGACACTTAATACATTTATTTATGGATAGAAATATATTTTACGTAAGAACTTATGGATTATGAATGATAATAACTGCAACATTGCACGAAATGATTGATCCTAGATGAACTGATGAATGTTTTTGCATCATTGATGTTGAATCGTGATTGGTGCCGTTTAATCGTGCATTTGCTGAAATGAGTAATAAATTGCTGATATGATATTTGTCATATTGAATGTTTGCAGAGAGCTCAGCCGGATGAACTGGCGAAGATCAGGAAACATTACGAGACGTCTAAAGAAGAGGAAGTGAAGCTCCTGGATAAACCAGAACAGTACGTCCTTCAAAGTTCAAACGCGCTCGTTCTAACAGGAAATGCGTCGTGAACCAGATCAGAGACTGTTGTGCAGGATTTTAGGACAAGTCATAATTATATTTATAATCAGAATCTTAAATATCTTAAAGAAAAGCCTTAATTATCGTTCCAAGAGTCTTTTTTCAGTATGCTTTAATAAAGGTGAATTAAAGATGATTTAAGATGATTTAATTAAATAAATGTGAGCGATGTGTGTTTCAAATAAAAAAAAAAATATATATATACATATATACATAGCATGATTTATCATTTTGACTCCCTTTTCTTGCAGAAAGTTTTAAAGACTGAAGATTTGGTCGTTTAATAAAAAAACTTTTAATAAAAAAAAAACATATTATTATTTAACAATTTGTTAAGAGCCTCATCCGAGCACGAGAAGCTCTCACACTAAATGCACAATAACGCTATACAGACACCAGTAACACCACATTCAAAACGTCTATTTTAAAAGAAAAATATTAATGTGTTTTTCTTGTTTATGTGAATGTTGAGGGAACATTTCACTGTATCGTTCATCACACATTATGGAATGTAACATTTGAATGTTCCAGAAACATTCAGAACTAAGTTAGTAGCGACATTTAAAATATGACAAACGTCCTATTGAATTATTTTATATCAAAAGGTTCCATGAATGATGTATAAATAATATTTTTGTGCTAATGTTTAGAGAACATTTGAACTGGTCTATTAACGTTACTTGAAGTACATTTGTTCATACATTTGAGAGAACCTTGTTAGTGTGGTTACAGCTCCAATTAAACACATTATTAGTATTAGTATAATAATAAATGCTTTAACAAAAATATGCTTGTATTTTTCTGAATGAACATCTCGTCCCACAAACGTTAGCGGATTAATGCGATTGTTATAAAAACTGAGGAACACACATCTGAACCGTTCCTGTAAAACCAATGAACATGTTTCTTCTGTGCTTGACCTTTGACCCTTCACTGTAGTGAGTCAGTGTGAGTCTGCGTATGCTAATGTAACCGGAACCGGCGATCTCTGCACATGATTGTGTGTCTGTGACTCGTGCCGCTAATATTTGACGTAATTACACTTAAGTGCAGGTAGTTATATCCAGACGTGTGTGAGGACGTCTGAGGTGTTTGATGTTGTGTGTTCCTCTTTCATCTCGTGTGCAGATTCCTGTACGAACTCTCCCAGATCCCGGATTTCGCGGGCCGCGCGCACTGCATCATATTCCGGACCGTGTTCGTGGACTCCATGTCTTCTGTCCACCGTAAAGTGGAGACCATCTCTACTGTGTGCAAGGTCAAGTCAAGCTCTAGATTTATTGGAGCATATTTGTTGTTCATCCAAGTTGGTTAATGATGTCACGCAGGTGGTGGAGTAATTACTTCTTTTTATGAATCAGTTTTGGCATTTGACGACTAATTTTCATTTTTCCATAGTTATTTTGCTTTGTTTGCAGATTCACTAATAGGCTCGATCTTACGCACATGAAGCACTTTTAATAGCATTTATATCCATATGCCAATGAGATTCAGTTATATAATAATAATAATAATAATAGCACTTATATCGATATGCAAATGAGATGCAGTTATATAATAATAATAATAATAGCACTTATATCCATATGCCAATGAGATTCAGTTATATTATAATAATAATAGCACTTATATCCATACACAAATGAGAGGCAAATAATAATAATAATAATAGCACTTATATCAATACACAAATGAGATTCAGTTATATAATAATAATAATAATAGCACTTATATCGATATTCAAATGAGATTCGGTTAATAATAATAATAGCACTTATATCCATATGCAAATGAGATGCAGTTAATAATAATAATAGCACTTATATCCATATGCAAATGAGATTCAGTTATATAATAATAATAATAATAGCACTTATATCCATACACAAATGAGATGCAAATAATAATAATAATAATAATAATAGCACTTATATCAATACACAAATGAGATTCAGTTATATAATAATAATAATAATAATAGCACTTATATCGATATTCAAATGAGATTCGGTTAATAATAATAATAGCACTTATATCCATATGCAAATGAGATTCAGTTATATAATAATAATAATAGTACTTAAATCCATATGCAAATTAGATGCAGTTAATAATAATAATAGCACTTATGTCCATACACAAATGAGATTCAGTTATATAATAATAATAATAATAATAATAGCACTTATATCGATATTCAAATGAGATTCAGTTATATAATAATAATAGCACTTATATCCATACACAAATGAGATGCAGTTAATAATAATAATAGCACTTATATCCATATGCAAATGAGATTCAGTTATATTATAATAATAATAATAGCACTTATATCCATATTCAAATGAGATTCAGTTATATAATAATAATAGCACTTATATCCATACACAAATGAGTTTCGGTTATATAATAATAATAATAATAATAATAGCACTTATATCCATACGCAATTTATGCAAATGAGATGCAGTTAATAATAATAATAGCACTTATATCCATATGCACATGAGATTCGGTTATTTAATAGTAAAAATAATAATAGCACTTATATCCATACACAAATGAGATGCAGTTAATAATAATAGCACTTATATTCATATGCACATGAGATTCGGTTATTTAATAATAATAATAGCACTTATATCCATACACAAATGAGATTTTGTTATATAATAATATTAGTAATAATAATAGCAGTTAATCCATACACAAATGAGATGTGCTTATATAATAATAATAATAGTAAAAATGATAGAACTTATATCCATATGCAAATGAGATGCGGTTATATAATAAAATAATAGCACTTATATCCATATGCAAATGAGATTCGGTTATATAATAATAATAGCACATGCACACTCTTCAAGAACTATTTCAAATAACAAAATAATGCAAAATACATAAACATCATAAAGTCAGAAATAAAATGTATATGCAAACCCTTCACTAAGTAGACATGCAACAAGATGAGGTCATGTGAGACTGATTGAAATAATTATTGTTGCATGGTGCAAGACTTTTTGAATTAGTGTGTTTATATTCGATTATTCCTTCCAATTCCAAAGTAATGAACATCAAACATGATCCCCTCGACTGGTTTCATTGAACTTACACCAAAAAACAAACAAAAAGGATAAAAAATGTAATCAGAAAAAAATATTTATATGAGACCTGTGACAAAATGAGGTCATGTGACCCTGCTAGTATGCTTGATGTGTGTGTGTGTGTTTGCTGTGCTTCTACAGGTGTTTCTTGAGTATGACAGTGTGAAGGATGTGATCGGTGTCATTTTGGCCTTTGGAAACTACATGAACGGTGGAAACCGGACCAGAGGACAGGCGGATGGATTCGGACTGGAGATTCTTCCTAAACTAAAAGATGTCAAGAGCAGGGTATTAAAATAATAACACTATGAACTCGCATGTTTGCATGAGATATGGTCACCTCAACCTCTAATCATCCTCTCCTTCCCCCATCAGGACAATCATGTGAGCCTGGTGGATTATGTGGTGTCTTACTACCTGCGAAACATGGACGAGGTACGGCCGCTAAACCCAAACACTCTCAGCGGGGCTTTAACCCCATAAACGGACTGTAACTTTCATGCAATGCAATAAAAGAAGCAAAGCCATCTGAAGAAATCAGAGATGTGGTGGTGCGGACGAACTGATGCTCTTCTGTCTCGCTTTACAGCACAAATATCTAAACTTTCTTAATTCAAGATGCATTTAATGGAGAAGCCAAATGACTGAAGATATTAAGTCTTGTTTTCTGGAAAGTCTGTCAATATTCATTTAATTCAAGATTAAAACAAGAATCTGTCAATGGAGTCAGAAAAAACATTCAAACTGTTATTTTTGTGCCACCATCGGCAGATATTTGTTCTTGTTTTAAGCAAAAACATTCATTTTGATTCATTTTAGTGGAATGAGTATACATAACTCCAGAATTACTCATTTAATCCCAACATTCCCAATCAATGTAGAAAATGCCACCTAGAGACACGAACTTTATACCATTGCTCATGGAAGTGCCCTCAAGTTCAACTTTTTTGGGAACTTTTTGTCTTTGGTGGTGAAACAGAATGTCCCCAAATGTCCTAAACTTTGTATATTTAATATTTCCCCTGTAACTTGAACTTAAATGAACTCTGGTATGAAAATGTTGACCTTCTGTTTATTACAAACAAAACTTAGTCATTCGTCATTGGAAAAACACAGAAAGCCCTAATTTTAAACAACGGTTACAGGAATTGTTGTTTGGTTAGGGAGAAACTCACATATATTGTTCAGGGAAAACCTCAAAAGTTTGTCATAGTATTGAACCTCTTTATATATATATATTTTTTTTTTTTTTGAAGATATATGAACCAAATAGTTTATTTTCTGTGTAACCAGGCATAGAATTTTTATATAGTTTTTTATTCTTATTTAAATGTTTCTAAAACGTTTCTGAAACATTTTTCAGAAAACAAGACTTAATATCTTCGGTCTGCATCTCAAGTAAATGTATGTTGATTTAAGAATGTTTTCTCAGCTAACGGGAAACAATTCTTCCAGTTATGTTAATATAATGGCTATTCGAAATATCTGATCTTTAATAATGTTCTCAAAACATTATTTATACTTTGTTTATGGAATGTTTTTTTAAATGTTTCAGTTTGCCTAACGCTTTTTTAAATGTTGCTAGTGCTACTTTTTTTGGAACATTCAGAGAACATTCAAAAGTAACATTCCCATAATGTTCGATGAATGAGGAAATAGAATGTTCCCGTAACCAAAAACAACAACAGCTGGACAGTTTTGAACGTTTATAGAACATTCAGAAATAATGTTTTCTTAACCTAAACGGTAATGTCAGCAAGAAGGGTCGATATCTGTAATAGAAAACAAGACAAAAATGCCAAGTAAGAAATTCTTTTTTTCTGAAAGGTAGTTGTTGTTGTTGTTTCAGACTGCAGGAACAGAGAAAAGTGTTTTCCCGCTGCCTGAACCTCAGGATCTCTTCCAAGCTGCACAGGTCAAGTTTGAAGATCTCGCAAAAGACCTTCGCAAGTTAAAGAAAGAGCTGACAGGTATGAGTCCATTCGCCGGTGTGTGGAGACAGAACCACAGAAAGTAGAAAAAGTGCTTTAAAATGGGACTTTTTGACATTTAAGTCCTGGAAAATCCTTGAAAACAGCTGTATTTATGAGGAAGTGCTTTACTTGCTTTATATTTTTTTGCAAAAACACAAATACAATCTTTTCACGCAAAATTAACACTGCAGCTCATCTGATAAACCCCATCAGATCTTTTTTTCTTACAAATTACTCCAACATTAGAATATAAAATATTACTTATTGAACAAGAATAGCCATCGTAAACTTTGTATTAAATATACATTATTAAATGCGTTAGTAGTTGTACTTTGGATGCCTTAAAAAAAAAAAATACCAAGACGTTGTTTGATCAGTGAGATCTCTGATTGTAGTCATTGAAAACTAAAAAAGTCCTGGAATTTGTTTTTACATTATCTGCCAGCAAATGAGCTCAGAAGTGATTCATTCTAGTGAATCTTTTGAGTTCTTTCGATTGATTCACTCATTGCTTCAGTGAGTCGTCGAATCGTCCGCCCAAACCTTTTATTATCCTTTATCCGAATGATTTTGCTGCAATGTTCATCTGTCCGTTTAAAAATCAGCTTAAAGCCACTTCTTTTCACGAAACAGTTTTTACACTGGAAAAAAAAACGCTTTTACCACAGTTGTGCTCGGGGCCGCCGCAGGGGTCAAAGGTCATGCCCCCCCAGCCCCTGGTGTCTGCAATTATTTAAATCAGCCAATAATATGGCATATGAAAGCAATTAGATATGCTCTCTCCTCATTCCCCTCCATTTGAGAATCGTTGTTAAAAACTCTGATCCTCAGTGACCCGAGGGAAAAACACAGAACGGCTACAAAACCACTGCCGCCCCACCTCGAGCTGTCTGTCACTCACTTATTAGCACAAAAATGCAAGACAATAAATATTCGCATTTGATCCACACCACAACAAAAAAAAGCCCCGTCTGGCGTGCGAGTCCTCGGGCGTTGGCATGAGATCGTAAGGAGAGTGTTGCAAGCGCACCTACGACTCAGTCTTTCTGGACACGGATAAATATTTATGCCATGCTATCATAAAGAGCTGCAAGTGTTCCTAATTATTCCTCCAGTCATTTCTGTGTGAAGTGAGAGCGGAGAGGAAGTCGAGGTGGTGAAGAAAGAGTTTCCGAGATTTGAGGTCTGTGCATCTGACGTACACGTGTGAGGCTCTCGAGACGCGGCCCTACTTCTGATCATCCAGCGCACGCGAGTGTTTCACTGCAGGGAATAAACATGGATCCTTCAAAGAGTGTGAATCTGGAAAAATAAATTCAAGGACCTGGAAATTTTTTAAAAATATATACGGGTGACACGGGAAAAATTAGAAGATCCTGCAAAAGTTCATTTATTTCAGTAATTCAACTTAAAAGATGAAACTAATATAATATATTGACTCATTACATGCAAAGTGAGATATTTCAAGCCTTTATCACAATATTTTAGGGTTTTCATAAGCTGTGAGTCATAATCATCAACATTATAACAAATAACGGCTTGAAGTGCACATCATTATTGTGTTAATAATCTTGAATGAGAATCAGTTCCTCTTGAGAAGCAGCTTCTCTTCTCTGATGATGTGGGCGGGGCTATAACCTGTCACTCATCTGAGATCAGCCAATAGCAAACCACAACCATCCAATCAGACACAATCAAGCCCCGCCCACATGCGTTCTTGTTGCACAAGTGTTTAACTCGGATATACGACACAGAGGAGAAATGAAAACGTGTAAAATGAACTAAGAGAAAGTGCGCAACTAAATGATGTTTATAGTCCATTGAGTCATTACTAGTAATATTGTCGGATCCGTGTTGCGGATTTACATAGAAACTCTTTGCCATAACCCACCAAAATAGTTTGGTTTAGAAAATTATGACAGAAATATTTTACTATTGGACAGTAACAACACATTTGATTAAAGCAGTGTTTTTAAGGAATATCGCGCAATATTGTTTTAATTTAAACAGTAAACCTGTTGTGCAGCACTTCATTTGATTACATTTATAAAATAACGATTTTAACGACACGATAACTCGTCACGACTAAAATAGTGCGCACACTTATTATGATATCTACTGTAATCTGCGGGGTTTTAACTCATCAGTTCCTGCCTTTCAATCCCAAACACCAAATAACACACATTCTTTTCTTCCTAACTAAAAAAATTAAGATTTTCTTAAGAAAAAATGTTAAAAATGTCAAGAATTGCACTTACTTACTTCTTACAAGAATGTTCTTAACCCCTGATGTGTCACCATATTTAAAACAGTAATATCCTATACTAAACCTAAACTAATATTGACAGACTATGTGTCATTTGAAAGCCTACAATTTGTAGTTGATTTTCAAAATAATGTCAATTTGCTATAAATCAACTATCAATTTGCAGCAAGAATATTTTCATACTCCTAAGGCGTGTTCAGACCCTTATTTAGTAAATAGTGATGAACATGAAAATCATGAAAGATTGGTAGAAACCACAGTTTGTTTTCATGCCAAGAGTTCAAAAGATAGCATGCATTAGTTTTTTTGTTTCTTGAAAAAAAGGCCTGAAAAAGTTTTAAGGCCGGATTTCTGTGAGTCCGGCCCCAGATGACTTGATAACTCCTGTCAGAGTCGTGAGTCGTCGTCCCCGCTCGTCTCGTGTGTGTTTAAGTGTTTGTGTTTGCTGATTTTACACCCGTGGCGTGTGACACGGCCTGGCGCAGGGGTCGCGACCCGGGGTCGTTCTCAGGGGCCGTTACATGTCTGAACGCTGAGACGGAGATGCCCTGAGACGCCCTGACTGCCCTCCACAGCGCTCTCTTCAACTCCAGCAGAAATCTGATCTGCGCTTCTGCTCCTTTACTTTCAGCAGGGTTAAAAGAGTCCCTCACACACTCTTACACACACATACACACTCCTATACACCCTTACACACTCTCACACACTCTTCAGTTCGATTCCATATACAGGTGAAACTCAAGAAAGTAGAATATCATGCAACTGTTCAGTAATTCAACTTAAAGGGTTAGTTCACCCAAAAATGAAAATTCTGTCAGTATTTACTCACCCTCATGTTGTTCAACCCCGTAAGACCTTCGTTCATCTTCGCAACACAAATTAAGATATTTAAGATATTAAGATCGCTCCTGCATACAGTCCATAGGCTTCTTGAGGGAATGACTCGAAAAGTCATTAAAGACATCGTTAAAATAGTCCAAGTGACTACAGGGGCTCAATCTTAACTTTATCAAACGACGAGAACACTTTTTGTGCGCAAAAACAAACAAAAATAACGAGTTTATTTCAACTATTGGTTTGTTTCTCCCTCTGCGCGAGTCAGGTTACTAGTTTAATAGCGTAAGCTTCTGTTATTGTACGTCACACGCATCACACACACATGACCAGCGTCGGCCAATAGTGAGCCTACGTGTGACGTAGCTCTACGCAATCACACTACGTTAACTGACTTACAGGCTCATGGAGAAGGAAGTGAATAGTTGAAATAAACTCGTTATTTTTGTTTGTTTTTGCGCACAAAAGTGTTCTCGTCGTTTGATAAACTTAAGATTGAGCCCCTGTAGTCACTTGGACTATTTTAACGATGTCTTTAATGACTTTTCGGGGACAGCAAGAGTCATTCCCTCAAGAAGCCTATGGAGCGATCTTAATATCTTAAATATCTTAATTTGTGTCCCGAAGATGAACGAAGGTCTTACGGGGTTGGAACAACATGAGGGTGAGTAAATACTGACAGAATTTTCATTTTTGGGTGAACTAACCCTTTAAAGATGAAACTAATATATTATATAGACTCATTACATGCAAAGGGAGATATCTCAAGCCTTTATTTGTTATAATTGTGACGATTATGAATTACAGATTCACCTTTTCACAATATTCTAATTTTGAATTTGGTGTTTTCATAAGCTGTAAGCCATAATCAGCAAAATTATAACAACTAAAGGCTTGAAATATCTCACTTTGCATGTAATGAGTCTATTAGTTTCACCTTTAAGTTGAATCTCTGAAATAAATGAACTTTTGCGTCATATTCTCATTTTTCGAGTATATTTAATTCAGATAAAGCATCATTGTCAGGAGTTAGCTTGAATTGCAGCATTAAAAAAGTCAAATATTGTCTCTTTTCTGTTCAGAGAATAGTCATGTTAATAATGTGGTCGTGTCTGCGCAGCCGGGGAAGAGCATAAGAGCCGTCTCGTTTGGGATCCGCCGGTGGGGTGTGTGATTTCCCTGGGAAGCGCGACCGCAGTTCCCAACACAAAACCCCACTCGCCGCTCCATGCTCGGGAATATCCAGGCAACTCCGGACAAAATCATGAAAACACCACAGAACCCTCAGAGGCGGCGAGCACAAGGAAGCACAGCTGTTTTCCCTACAGTTTAATGACAGCAGACAAACATCATCGTATGAGTAATGAGGATCGAAGAACAACAGCTCTGGACTCGCCGACGTTATTGAACGTTTCCAGATGAAGAGCCTTCCCAAAACTATCCGTGTTTCACTTGTTTTCCAGCACAAATATCTAAAACATTCTTAATATCCGAAGTCATTTTGCTTGAAGATGTTCTTATAAATGCATCAAAATGAAGCTTGTAAAACAAGAACACATATCTGCCATTGGGGTCATTAAAAAAACATGCTTTTTGCTCCATTGGCAGATATTTGTTCTGTTCATTTCCAGAAAACAACACTCAAAACTATCCGTGGAACCAAAGCATTGTGGGAAGAGCCGACGCTCATGAAGTCATTTGAATTCATATACACCATATCTGCAGTGATTTTGCTTCATGATGTAAGACTGTTTAGATATTGAAACACCAAAGCAAGAAAACATGCATGTGTTTGCGTGTCATTTTACTCCACGTCGGTCTCTGCGTTTATTTTATAAAGTGGCGCATCAATGGAGCCCATATGCCACGAGTCGAGACAATGGAGACATTCCTGGTATCCGCCAATGATGAAAGAGCGAATTAACCCAAACCATGCTTTTACACGCATACAAACTGCGGCTCACAGGGCTTTAGACGTCATGTTTTGGAAAGTCTTTCAGGAGACGAGACGTTTGTCTGCTGGGTTATTTATATAGCATGCAGTGGATCATTTCCATCAGAGCAAAGCCCAAGAATTTCAGTAGATAATCCACAATTATATACAACCTCGGAGCGCTGTCAGAGCTCGGTATATATTACGCTTCTGACGGGCCAAGGCCGGCGCGGCCAGATAAATCTGCTCTCGGGTATTAGCGCTCGCTACCTGAGGCTTACAGCGATGCTCCCTGGAACCAAAGCATTGTGGGAAGAGCCGACGCTCATGAAGTCGGTCTGCGTATCCCGGAGCACGTGCTGTATTTGAATTCATTCTACAGTGTAAATCACACAGTCATACTGAAAACGTCAAAGACAGTCTCGAAAACACGCTTGGAAGTGAGTGGAGGCGGGGCTCATTTGCATATTCATAGAAACGCGCATACTAAATGAGGCGAGGGTGTCGAGTTTTGTTTCATTTTCATTTAGTTTACCCTAAGCAGGGGTTTTCAAACTTTTTGTGTGTGAGGACCACTATTTGTAATCAAGATTTTTCACGGACCACCTCATAATACACATATTATGATATTTATTACATATTATAATCAGGTTCATTTGAACAACAGGCTTATTTTCATAGCAATGGAGTATGAAATCGATACAGCAATAAGAACACTTGGATATAGTCAGCATTTCAAAACCTTTAGCGATTTTAGGGGATTATTAATGTTAATTTTAAGGCCTCAAAAAGTAGACTTGAGAACATATTTGCCTTTGCCCTATAACGTTATACATTTAAAAGAAAACACAGTAGGCCTAATGTTATTCCAGGTTGAAAATAAAGTTGTCAAAAGGAAAAGCCATTGGAGTCTATTTACCAGCCCGATATGAACGTAATATCCTCCTTTGTCACCCTCCACATCTTTCCCTTCCTCTTTGTATCGTCTGTCTAATATAGACCAATATTAAAAACAAACAACTAAATAAATGCTCACCTAACCTGTTGCTATTCACCGATCCGGGTGTTGTGGTTTTGACGTCACGGCCGAGCGCCACTAGCCTATTTTAGTAATCACACAATAGCTTGACAATTTAATTTACATTTTATATAAATATAGGCCTACATATTCTTTTTACTTTTTTTAATGGGAAGTTATTGGTAAAATATTTTATGTTTTATTTGGCCTTTTCACGGCCCACCTGCAGTACCCTCACGGACCACTAGTGGTTTGGGAATCGCTGCCCTGAAGTACTAAAATAACTAAAACTAATAATTTTTTTTTTTTTAATAAAAGAGACATATTTAAAAAAAAAAAAAAAAAAAAAATACAGGTAATAAAAATTACAAAAACGTAAAAACTTTAATACAATTGAAGTGTGAAACATTTATTCAAAATAACCAAAACTGTTCAAATATATATCAATAACACTGACATGTGCGTATATTAATTATTCACAATAAGCATCTAAAAATTAAATCAAGTTCATGCGACTTTTTTGAAATAGCTATTTTATTCATGTAGAGTTTATGTAAAGATTAATCTTTATGTTGTTATTCCAGAGAACAAATCAATTGCCGTTTAGTGAAAGTTTGAGGAGTGTCGTGTCTATATAAAAACATAGCTTTATAAAAATGCGTATTACAGCCCAGATCAATGATAAACACATGCCGGCATTTACTAGATTCATTAATGCTAAACATATCCATACATTGGCGCTGCGAGGAGGCCGAGAGTCTCCTAGTGATTGCTCTCCGCTCTCTGAGTTTGTGTGAACGCAGTTGTTTGGCAGCACAACAAAGACTCTGAGCACAAACAACACACACTCCATCCGGCATCTGGCCCGAGAGGGTTCGTGTGTAACACACACTGCCGTTCATACACCCAGTCTTAAGTGTCACATGACCCTTCAGAAATCACTCTAATATGAGGATCTGATGATCAACAAACATTGATTATTATTATCACTGTTGAAACAGTTGTGTACAATTTCTTTAATGAATAGAAACTTAGTGATTTCTGAAGGGTCATGTGACTCTGAAGACTGGAGTAATGATTGATTTGATCACAGGAATAAATTACACTTTACTGTATATTCACATAGAGAACAGATGATTTACATTATAATCATATTTCACTGTTTTTTGTTTGTATTTTTAATCAAATAAATGCATTACTGGAATTCTTTTAAAAACATTAGAAATCTTTCTAATCCAAAGCTTTTGAGTCTTAGTGTGTGTGTGTGTGTGTGTTGTTCTATCTGTCGTCAGCTCGTGTGTGTCGTCACAGAGATGATCTCGCTGTGACGATAACGATCCGCATGCTCTGAGATCATTAGGAAAACTCCCGAGTCCTGCTAATCAAAGCACTCTGGCTCTCGCTGTGTGAACGCTAACGTCTCCGCGCTCCGCTTTGATAGTCATCTGTGCGAGGCTCACACACCTCTTGCTCATGTTTCTCTTTAACTCGTTTATGGATGTGCCGGTAATCTGATCCGCAGAACTCACCTGCGCTTCATTAATACAAGCCGTTAGCTCACGTCCTCGCTGATATCTTACTACCGTCCTGTTCAGTGTGTGTGTGTGTTAGAGTGTGTGTTCCTGTGATCAAATCAGTCATTACTCCAGTCTTCAGTGTCACATGACCCTTCAGAAATCACTCTAATATGAGGATCTGATGATCAAGACACATTTATGACAAAACATTATGAATGTTGAAAAGTTGTTTCTGAGATTTCTGAATCGCTAATAAATCAACTTTTCTTTCCGTTCGCCTAAACAAAAGTACAATAGAGCGTGTCTTGTCCTAACCCTCTATGTTCTAACCATAAATACGTTTTTATTACATGAAATAGATTCAATCATACAAATCCAAAAAGATTTTAAACATTTTGATGGGGGTAATTAATGGTCAAAAGGTGTTTTTCTTTCAATTTAATTGCACATTTCTTGTAGAAACTGATAGATTTATTTACTTGGATGCAAACAGAAGTAAGTAGATGGCTATCATTTAATCGCTCTCATCCCCAATCATGTGACGAACTCATCCTCACTCAGAGCTGAATTAAATATTGCTGGATTCATTTTCTGAAAAGAAGAAATCAATTTGTTATTTATACATAAACACAACCATGCTGCAATAAACACTTCAAATAAATAACTGCAATCGTATTGTTGATGCTTCTATCCATAAAAAATCCCAATGGGGAAATACAGTATTTCTGCAGTTACAGCGCTTATATTTTCTCAATTTACTGTAACACTTTGTTAGACAAAGTTGATTTGTGAATAAAAATATTGAAATTACTGATCAAAGATGCTTCAAAAAATCCCCCCGAGAAGAGATGTTCAGATATTCAAATGTCATGTGACTCAAAAATATAATTCCTATAGTGCAATATATTGTGTTTTATTCTGAATAACAAGAAAATTAGTTGAAATGAATATGATAGAGGGTTAAGAAAATAACCCATTTATATCCCAGATGATAACTGTATATAACAGTGAGAACTGACGCTCGTGTGTTCCTCCTGCAGAGTGTGTGAAGGAGGTTCGGCAAGTGTGTGAGAACTCATCCGACGAACATCTTCAGCCCTTCAAGGACAAGATGGAGACCTTCATCAGCACCGGTGAGTCAGAAGCATCATCTGTGCTGTGTAACTTAATAAAGTTATGCAGAATATGCATTGACAAAAACGTCGCTTGCTGCAGGGTATTAGATGTGTACATCATGTTTAGTGACGTCTTAATCACACAACAACTCAAAACAGAATTAAAAGATCAATGTTGGGATTTATTAATCAATATTTGGTTGATGAAAATGAGATTCCAGTAAATCGAACCCAAAAATGTCCTGAACTCATCCCGAGTAAAAATCCTCTGGGTTCTGACGGGATCATTTTGATCTGAACGCAGTTCTGTTTGCTGTAAAGCTGGTGAACTTTGACCTGTTCCCATAAAGAGCGTCGACCCAGAGCCGAAACCAATCCAGCAGCACTGAGTCACTGAATCACTGACTCTCTGAGTCATTAAATCACTGAGTCTCTGAGTCACTGAATCACTGAGTCTCTGAGTCACTGAGTCTCTGAGTCACTGAATCACTGAGTCTCTGAGTCACTGAATCACTGAGTCTCTGAATCACTGAGTCTCTGAGTCACTGAATCACTGACTCTCTGAGTCATTAAATCACTGAGTCTCTGAGTCACTAAATCACTGAGTCTCTGAGTCACTGAATCACTGAGTCTCTGAGTCACTGAATCACTGAGTCTCTGAATCACTGAGTCTCTGAGTCACTGAATCACTGACTCTCTGAGTCATTAAATCACTGAGTCACTAAATCACTGAGTCTCTGAGTCACTGAATCACTGAGTCTCTGAGTCACTGAATCACTGAGTCTCTGAATCACTGAGTCTCTGAGTCACTGAATCACAGAGTCACTGAGAACTCAGCAGTACTGGGACTGAAACATCCATCCATCACTCCCTCCCTCCATCTCTCCCTCCATCTATTTATCATCCCTCCATCCATCTATCATCCATCCCTCCATCCATCCCTCCATCTCTCCCTTCATCCATCCCTCTATCCCTCTATCCCTCCCTTTTTCCATCTATCATCCATCCCTCTATCCCTCCATCTCTCCCTCCATCTATCCCTCCATCTTTACCTCCATCCATCCCTCTATCCCTCCCTTCATCCATCTATCATCCATCCCTCTACCCATCCCTCTCTCCCTCCATCCATCCCTCCATCTCTCCCTTCATCCATCCATCCATCTATTATCCCTCACTCTATCCCTCCATCCATCCATTAATTCTCACAGTGGGTAAACCTCATGAAAACATCTCCAGCAAATATTTCACTCCAAAATCAAAAGAAAAAAGTACATTTTTAGAAGTACAAATGAACGCTATTAGTGCTTTTTAGTAAAATCAGTCATATTTTTAGGACAAAATCAACTCCCACTATTGATTCCAATAGAGCCACGATTCTTTAATAACCATAATTGTATTTACCTTTTTATTTATCATTTAATAATTGTTATGAAATAATTCTGTTTTTAAATCTTATCTCTCATTAGTATTTTGACATATTTTGGCACCCAGCGTCATTATTTCACATTAGTGTGTGTGTTTAGGGGTGACATATGAGCTGGACATGTTCTTGAGTCTCTTTATATTGCTCTAATGTAGAGTTTGGTTTGATCTGATGTCGAGCTTTATGAGCACAGGAACTCTTCCGTGCGCGTGTGTGTGTGACCGCAGAGATCCACTCGTGAGAAACCGCAGTCGATTGATGTGTCCGTCTGATTCCATCACACGTGTGTTTTAAAGCGAGGGATCCGTGTTACTCCATAATGAACCCTGAGTCGAGCTCTTTATGGAGAGCGCAGCCGCGAGTGGCTTTTAAAGCCTGAGTTTATTGTCCTTCTCAGCGTGCAGGTCCCATAACTTTCTAGTTAGCCACTACTGGTTTCATGTTTACAGACGGAGCTGAGGAGAAAATTCACACATCCCTCTCCGCGGCGCACACACACACACACACACACACACACACACAGCAAAGGGAGACCACAGGCGCCAGTCCACCCCTGCTGAGACCAACGCCATTGGTCACGGCTCACCCCGTCTTCATTAGCCTGAGACAATCAGCCACACACACACACACACACACACACACGCTCGCGCTGGGGAAAGCAGAAAGCGCTGTTCACACTCTCCCCCACCAAAAGACCCCCAAACTCGCCTTTGAACAATGTTTCGGAGACTTCCCGCTCTTAAATCAGGGAGTGGGAAAGGTCCCCATCATAGTAAAAAAAGGGGATGAATCTGGAAAATGCAATAAATCTGAGATCATAGGCGCGCTGGCCTGAGATAAATTCTTGCACCTCGGCCCGGCCGCCGCACATCTGCCTTACATTTAGACACTTTTACATGGAGCAGCTCCACGGGAGCCACTAGTGCAACACACACACGTACGTATGCACACACATACACTCACTCTCTCACATAGACATTCACACACACACACGCACGGATGGATGCTTGTTTCCGCCTCCAAATAAAAAAAATAAACTAATAATGATTCGTGACATTTATATAGCACTTCTCCGGGTACTCAAATCGCCACCACAAAGCTCACAATTTTCTTGCAATTGTCAGTTCACAGTTCTGAGGAAAAAGTCTGAATTGACTGAATTTAAAGTTTCATGTTTCCTTTCTCAGTGTGATGTGTTTCGTCCACAGCACAGTCCGAGCACGCGTGTGAAGACGACCGGCTGCGGGCGGCACAGGACAGGTATGAAACACCTTCAGGACACACACACTGCGTCTCCATGTTCACTATCCGTCCTAAACAGTGTGTGAGATTAGAATAAGTGTGTCTCAAAGCACTGTGTGGAGTCCCAGATGCTCCACTATTCCCAGTGGGTTTTCAAAGTGTGGATCCGTCTCCGATAACAGCTGATATTACCCACAATCCACTGCGCTTTGGAGGAGGAACTACAAACATGAATAAAAAGTGATAAAAAATTATTAGACTAAAGATTATTAGACTAATCAAATATGACTCCAGTGAAAATCATGTGTTTTCTATGTGAATATACAGTAAAGTGTAATTTATTCCTGTGATCAAATCAATCATTACTCCAGTCTTCAGTGTCACATGATCCTTCAGAAATCACTCTAATATGAGGATCTGATGATCAACAAACATTTATGATTATTATCAGTGTTGAAAACACTTTCATATTTTCGTGAAAACTGATGCATTTAATTTTCAGGATTTTGTGATGAATAGAATGTTCTAGAAAAACAACATTTGTTTGAAATTGACTTTTGATCGATTTAATGCGTCCTTGATGAACCCGAACTCTTGAATGACTCAGATTTGTTTCTGATGCATTCTGGGATTGTTTGATGTGTGAGCAGCAGGTGTGTTTCTGAAGCGTGAGCGTCGTGACGGATGTTTCTGGAGGAGCGTTGTGTTATCATGTGGTCTTATCATGTGTATTTGAGCGTGTCAGACTCCCGACAGAAACACTGTGAGCTGTGTGCGCTGATTTATGTGCAAGCGTTCGACTGCCAGATGCTGCACGACGGAAAATATCTGGAACTTTTCATAGAGGGGGGAAAAGGACAAACAAAGCATATTGATTATTTTTCCTTGTTTAGATTTGAGAGTTTTTTTGTAACCCGAAACAAAACAAAGTGAAATGAAATAAATAAGACGCAGAACATGCACACACAGAATAAAGAAATGACTTCCAGCTAACAGGGACCGTTCTCAGTACAAGAAGTTATGAACAAATGTTCTTCCAGTAACGATAATCGTTAAGAGTTATCTTTAAATATGTTCTCAGAACATTGGAACAAAACATTATTTATATATATATATCGTTTTGTTTTTTTCTGAAAGGTTCAGTTGGATGTTCATCTAACATTTTTTAAAGTAGCAAATGTTTGTTTGAGATCATTCAAAAGTAACTATTAGAGAACATTCAAAAGTAACAATTAGAGAACATTCAAAAGTAACAATTAGAGAACATTCAAAAGTAACATTCAGAGAACATTCAAAAGTAACAATCAGAGAACATTCAAAAGTAACAATCAGAGAACATTCAAAATTTACAATTAGAGAACATTCAAAAGTAACGATCAGAGAACATTCAAAAGTAATAATCAGAACATTCAAAAGTAACAATCAGAGAACATTCAAAAGTAACGTTCCCATAATGCGTGAGGAATGATGAAATGGAATGTTCAGAAAAACATTCAGAAATAACATTTTCATAACTTAATGGGAATGCAAAACGTACTGAGAACATGTTATGTTTGTCTGGGTATAAAGTGCAGATGTCAGCGTCTGAAGCTCTTCCCTGGAGAGAATCCCGCACATGGACTCCACGCTTGACTCCACCTTAATGAAGGTGTTGAATTGGCCAATATTGATCAAAAGAGCCTGGCAGCCACAAACTCCTTTAATTTCCCTTTAATTTGGTCCCAGAGAAAAGTGTGGCTTTCCCAGAGTTCCCATGGACGCACCTCGTTAAAGTGACCCGCGGGTGATGGATTCGGGATCTGGGTGGGCGTCCACATGTGTCCCGACCCGAGGGCCGGCACCTTTACACACTTCTCCCCGCAGCAAACCTGCTGAACACGATCACGCCTTTGATCTTACAAGAGCTGAGAATCACTGCGGATGATCTACTGGCTTTCTGAGTCACACACGAGACGAACGATCGGGACGTGTGTGTGTGTGTGTGTGTGTGTGTGTGTGTGTGTGTGTGTGTGTGTGTGTGTGAGATGAGGAGTTGGACGGATTGACAGCCAGAAATCACTGCATGTTTCATGCATTTCCAGCTTAATGCGCAAATCACACGCTGATGCTGTGAAAACAGTTCAGAGATGTACTGGATAAATCAGTGCGGTGTGTGTGTGTGTGTGTGTGTGTGTGTGAGAGGGGTTAGAGTGGGGGAGAGAATATAAAGTTTGCACAGTCTAAAAACTGTAATATATTTGTCTAGTAACTGCTGTTTTTGCAGCGTCCAGCGCTGACACACTCCCGCGCGCTGCTCCGTTGAGTGTGTCCGCGGTTCATGTGTGTGTGATCCGTCACACGGTGTCGTTAATCTCACGGTTGGCTTGATTTGCGGCCACTGAACGTGATCTTCCACCACTAATGCCACTTTGTGTTTGGGTTTCTCTTCATGCTGTGTTACCCAGAGCGGGACTAAATCTGGTCATCGCGCGTCACACACACACACACACACACAAATGCTCTGCATTTATAATGAGCACATTATAAACTCTAACTTCTAATTATCATTTTGAACCAATCAAATACGAAACGGCTCATTCTTCCAGATTTCAGTTTATCCGGTAGGATCTGATCTGATTCTTAGAGAATATTTATTAAAGATTATAACATTAATTTCAAATTATGATGGAATTTCTGTGTTTTGGTCCACGTGGAGTCACACGCTCTTTTCACATTTTATGCAATGATTTGATCTGTCGAAATCAGCAGAATCATGGGAAGATTTTTGTCTTTTGATTTAGGGAAATCAGAAAATATTTTGTGCATGAATAAAATTATGTCTATTTTATTAATATGGATGGATGGATGGATGGATGGATGGATGGATGGATGGATGGATGGATGGATGGATAGATGGATAGAATGATTGATTGATTGATTGATTGATTGAAATGTTCAGGATTATTGAGTTTGATCAGTTTCGCAGTATCACAGTAATTATATTCAATAGATATTCACAATAGATTGTGAAGCAGCTTCACAGAAAACGCTCGTTTGAGTGTATTGCATCTTTTCATGTCTTTCCGAGAACAGAGCTGTGTGTGTGTGTGTGATGAGATGTCGTGTGTGTGTCCCTGTAGTTTCCAGGACATGGTGGCGTTCTTCGGGCTCAAGCCTAAGTCTGGCGAGAAGGACGTCTCCCCGAACTACGTGTTCATGCTCTGGTACGAGTTCTGCAACGACTTCAAGAGCAGCTGGACCCGCGAGAACAAGCGCATCTCCAGCGAGAGGTGAGGGACACCAGTGTGTTTAACACACACACACACACGCACGCACGTGCACAGGAAAAGCCGAGGGATGTCATAAAGTGTGTCAGTGTGTCGGACCTCGAGCGCTTCTCTTTGATGCTCCTTGTGTCTTCATAACTTATTTTTAGATATTAATATTATTCATATATTAATATATATGATATATGATATATATTATTTTTATATTCATTTGGCAAATACACAAACTAGCTCTGTTTCCATTCACATATTTTTACAGCCAAACCAGTATTAGTCCGACAGCTTCAACATTTCTCACAGCACAAAAAATCAACTCGTATAATAGGAAAAGTGGACTCAGAACATTCATTCACATTGCGAGGAAAAAGTGTGTTTTGTGTTGATCAGAAGTAACACACACAGGTTTGAGTTAGTAAATGAGGACAGAAGGGTTTGTGTTTTTGCTGAATTAATCCTTTCATTTCGTTCTCTTTCATTTTAGACTCAAAGAAGCTCAGAAAACAGTCCAAAAAATCACAGCCGAGAAGAAAGTGGAGACGAAGAAGATCAATGAAAACAGCCTGGTGAGAAAACACACACACACACACACACTCTTCCTCACATGTGTACGGCTGTTTACACGAGTTTATGACATTAATCATAACACACGTGTTCATTCTCATGTAAATCCAACACCGGCAGGAAGATCTTCAGATTCTGAAGGATAATGTGCTTTAATAGTCACACACACACACACACACACACACACACACACACACACACACACACACACACACGAGTTTGATCAAAAGCAAGTCTCTGTGAGCCAGAAGCTCTGGAAGTGAATAACAGCAGAGACTGGGAAATAATGGACATCAAGTACACTTTTATGGTTATTATGTGTGAAGAAAGACTGTTTATTGGTTTCAGTTTGTTATTTGCCTGATTTAAGGACAATAGAATTATTAGTTTTAAACAAGTTTTTGAAAAACTCTTAAAATATTTGTTTTCTCTTTATAATGCCAGGTGTATTAGATAATTTAAGTGATTTTATAATTTAAGTGATCTTATTTTTCATAATTATAACATTCATGTATTAATTTATGCTAATTAGATATTATTGTCATAATTTAATTTTTATTATAATAATTTTTTTCAGTTTTCAGTTTAATTAAACAACTTTTTATTTATATATATATATTGTTTATTTTATTTTAATACATTATTTTAATTACATATTTATTTATTTTAATTATATTATTGTTCTCAGTTGATATATTCAAATAAATATTTTTATTTTATCAATTTTTTTTCAGTTTTTAACCACTATAATTATAATTTTAGATTATTTTCACACATTATTCTAATGAGATGAAATTGTGTATATATATACATTATTTTATCTTAACTTAATTTTCTCTGTTTAATTTTACATAATTTTGTTTTCATACATTATTTTTAGTATATATTTAATTATAATTATATATATATATATATATATATGTATCTTAATATTTAGATAGTTATTAACTATTGTAATATATTTCTCTAGTAAATAAATGATATTTCTGCTTTCAGATCCTTGAATTCTCCAGATATTTTTGATCTTAGTTTTATTGAATTATGCCTACAGCAGGTTTAATTTCCACGAAGGCATGAACTGATGAAACACACGTACACCTTCTGTATTAAAGTGCATTGATGCAGATGTAAGTAAGTTCTGGAATGTGTTTGACAGAAAGAGCGACTGCGTAAGAAAGAAGCCGGCGTGCCGTCCGTCTGAAGTGCTGCTGACCTCAGATCAGCGACAGCAGGACCGGGACACACTCTTCTCAAACACACAGCCGTGCCTCACACTCGCCAAACGCCACTGAGTGAGTCGCTTCTGTTTTATACTAAAACATGTGAAGTGTGTGTGTGTGTGTGCGCTGGAAGAGACAAGCACTCGCACGCCGTCGGGTTCACACACTTTCCTTCTGTGTGACGCACTTTTACACACTATGCAATATCCTGCGTTTAGAAAAGTGAATCATGTACATTTGCAATGAGCTTTTTTATTTGAGAACATGATGAGAAATGAATCATATTTCAGTGTTCTGTATATTTGATGTGTGTAGATGAGTGAATGAGCGACTCGAAGCCCGATTTATGCACAGGAGGAAGGTTTATTTAAGGAATATGTGTAATAGTGAGAGGGATTTAAGGATGTTTATAAATGGTGAATTCTTTAATTTATCCAGTTATTTTAAGACAAGCCTGAATGTGTTTCCACTGTCAAACTCCTGGAACGTCAGATATTTCTGATTTTAATTGACTTTTTTTTGTGAGACTTTTTCATTTATTAGGTGCAATAAACTTTATCCTAAAGGTTTGAAAGATTGTCAAAATTCAAAGAAAATGTGTCTTCTGAATTTTTTTTTCATCTTATAATGAAAGTTTACATTCAAAATCACATTTGACCAATGAAATGATGCTTATCACATTTACATCATCTGTCAGTCAGTGTTTCAATAATGCAATATTCGTTTCTAAACGACATAATTTTTCATAATTAGACAGACATAATGTGGTTGAAGCATTTGAGAAAGAGATACAGGTGTAAAAGTTTGATCTTTTATTAATATGATCTTCATACAAGCCATCTATCCACAACATTATACACAGCATCTGTACAACTTAAACCACCATGTGTGATAACTTTGGGTTTCACAACTATAATCTGATATTATAAATAGAGGAATCGATGAAGAAACTCAATCCAGCAGAAACATGAATAACAGTGTCTCGTTCCGTCACATTAAATAAAGTCGTTCCACATAGTGGAAACTATCCGTCCTGAAACACTAGCGTATCGTGCAACAGGTCATGTGTTTCGTTAAATCAACTTAAAAGATGAAACTAAGATATTTAGTGTATAACTATTATACTTCTCAGAGGGCCGACATTTCTGTATTATGTAATATTCTAATTTTCTGAGATGTTGAATTTGGGGTTTTCATCATCATCACAATCATAACTTTTGCACGATATTCTAATTAGTTGAGTTTGACCTGTAGACGTGGAGATATTCTCGGTTATGTGGGTTAATAACAAGCATGATCTCATCAACTGAAGCATATGGCATGCAGAAATCAGTCCTGCATAAATCAATCAGAGTAGAAATCCTCCATGCATCTCTGCATGATTAATAATCATAAAGTGTTGTTTAAAACTAAAGATTAAGATGAAGATGCTTTTCATGCGTAGAAGCTCAGACATGTTTAACACAATCTGATAAACTGGAAAATGAGTTTTGAAAGCTAATATTGAGGTGTGTGCTACTTATGGAAGCACATTTATGACACATATGCCACAATAATCATGCTTTTGTTCGTTGAAATTATGAAATTCTAAGTTAAAAGTCTGATTTAGAAAGTTAGAATTACGACATAAAAAGTCAAACTGATTAATTTTGTGTGTAAATGGGTGCAATTATGAAACATAAAATGACAAAAGTTCAATTATGACAGATTTCTGCTTTTGATCAATTATGACTTAAAATGTCAACTTCAACTTTTTAATCTCGTTATGACTTTTTTTATCTGATAATTGACAATTTTCATTTTTAGTATGACATTTTCAACTTTTTATCTCATAATTTACTTATTAGTGTGTGACAATTTTAACTGCCATCATTTTAGTTTTCCATCTCAAAATTATGACAGTAAATTTCAACGATTTATCTCATTATGATTTAGTGTGTCATAACCATGTGTTTTCCCATGTGATCAGTGTTCCCACAGCATGTGTTCTGTCATTTTTCGACTTTGTCATAATTTTGACTTTTTAATCTCATAATTATGACTCATATAGCAGTTTTGACGTAGTTTGACAATTTTGACTTTTTATCTCAGTCTAAATTGACTTTGTGTATTGTGTCACAAAATTTGACTGTCATAATTTCAATTTTCTGTCTCAATATTATAACAGTCAATTTCAACTTTCTAAATATTATAATCATGACTGAAGGTCACAATTGTGATGTCATAATAATGATGGTGTCTTTTCTCATGTGATAACCAGTATTCCCCAGAGCATGTCCCGTGTGCTTCTTCCTCGGTTCTGCTGTGTTCTTACTGTCGGCCCGGTCCAGATCCGGTTCTGCTGTGTTCCTTCTCTTGCAGTGACCCAGGACCCAGACCCGAAACCCAAGACCCCGGACCCTCAGTCGAGGTCGATGGAGATGCACCGGCACTGCTTGACCCGCTGCACGCGCTTCTTCCGGGTCGGCGGCTGCTGATCGGGGCAGTTCAGGGTGAAGCTCATGGTGGTGAAGCGTTTGGGTTTGCAGAACGAGCAGGACCGGAACGCTCCCTCCTCTCGCCGCACGTGTCTCGGGATGTAGAAGGAGTTGCACTGGCCGTAGCAGAACCGGTTGATGATGGTCCGGCTCACGCACCCCTCCTCGTGGATGGTCTGTTTGAGCGGCTGGGTTTTACACCAGTCCCGCTTCAGGTACCGGCGCTCGGTCACGTGCAGCGCCTCCTGGCTGGACTCCAGAACCTCCTCGGAGCCTCGGCTCCTGCCTCTCGGATGAGGGTTCTGGTTCTGGTTCTGGTCCGACTCGTTCGGGGTGCTCTTGTCCGGGTGAGGGATCGAGCCTCGGTTCCGTTTGGACTCGGTCGGACTCGAGAGCAGAACCCAGGAGAACAGGATCACACACAGGATCTGCACGCTGGGGGCCATCGGCGCTGACGAGAGAACGTCACACATCACAACTCGTAATCATAGTCATCAGATGCTGTACTTTACAATACATCGATGGCTCTGATACATCAGCTGGAGTTCATTACTGCCATAATTTGGACTTTCTGTGATAATTGCACATTTTTAATCTCATAATCATGAGTCTTTTGTGACAATTTAGACTGTCATCATTTCAATTCATTTCAATTCAGTCATAATTATGAGATTAAATTCAAAATTTTCATACTTAAATCATCATGAAATAAATCAAACTTGTCATGAAATTTTCAATTATTTTGACTTTCATAATTTCAATTTTCTATCTCTAAATAAGTCAATTTCAACTTTTTAAATATAATCATGACTGTCACAATTTTAACTTTGTCATAATTGCCCATTTTTAATCTAATAATTATGAGACTTTAATGACAATTTTGACTTTTAATCTCATCATTCATGACTGTCATAATTGCAACTTTTTAATCTCATAATTATGACAATTTTGACTTATCTCATGATTTAGTATGATATTTTCAACTTTTAATCTCATAATTATGACTTCTAATTTTAACTTTAATCTCATTACAACTTTTTATCTCATTATTTGAACGTGGCCATTTGTTGCTTCAAAGTTCAAACAGCATTTAATTAAAAAATGTTTATAAATTAGCATTGAAAATTTTTACAAGATCTGCAAATTGAATCAATGTAATGTCTTCAAATTATATTTATTTTACATAACAAATATTCTTAATTTTAATATTTAGGTACTGAATGACATCCATTTAATAATAATTTATCTATATTATTAAATTACGAGAGCTATGAAGAGTCCAGGCGTGTTTAGAGTTATGAGATATTTGTACTGATATAAACTGGTATCTGAAAATAAAGATTATGAGTGTGTGTGTGTATCGCAGAGCGCGGAGAGGAAGCAGCTCTGAGGTCGTGCGAGTCGCTCTGGATAAAAGCTTCTGCCAAACGCATGAATGTAGAGATAATGTGCTGGACACACACTGCAAACACACACTGCGGATCAGTAACGGTGTAAGATCGCTCACCTGTCGGCGTTGAAGAGCTTCTGCCAGAGAAGATGTTTGTGGAGAGAAGAGCTGTGATCTGTTCCACACACACACACACACACACTCTGACTGCTTACATGTGCACTGCATCTCTAAACACTCCAGCCAGACACAACGCAGGAGGATCAGAGCTATCCGCCCACTCCACACACACACACTCTCTCTCTCATACACACACTCTCTCTTTCTCTCTCTCACATACACACACACACGCACAAACACTCAAACTCTCTCTCTCTCACACACACACACACACACACACACTCTCTCACTCATACACACTCAAACTCTCTCTGTCATACAGATTCACACACTCACTCTCTCTCTCACACACACGATCATTTTATATATATATATATATAATGTGTGTGTGTGTATATATATATATATATATATATATATATATATAATATATGTGTGTGTGTGTGTGTGTGTGTGTGTGCCTGTGCCTGTGCCTGCATGTATGCGTTAAATATGTATGAATGTATGGGCCAATGGCAAAGAAGGATGTCCAAGATGAATAAAACTGAAAAACTCTTAAAATTATTTTGAATCCTTGTTGGTTTCATGCATATATGAAAGTATCTATACTATTTTCTACAACTATGATTTAATGGCTACAAAACTTCATGTGAGTACATCATACCATTTTTTTATTCACTTATTTATTTAAAAACAAAAATCTTTCATTCAATAAATTCTGTGACAATTTAAACAAAAACCTCTTCTGTCAGTCACGTGACACGCGAGAACCTATGGGCGTCAAATAAGAGTCCAAAAGGCGCCAAATTTGAATTTATCACCAGCGCGAAGATTTGACGGCTACCGTTACTCTAATCTGGTTTCACACAAAACTATTACGTTAATTGACTAAATTATATTAATATATGAGTCGCGTACTGAGTTTATGATACATTTATTATATTTTTTGTTGTCAACGTGTCTATTCAATGTAATTTAATGGAAACGAGGAGCTGGCACATATTTTTCCCCTCAGAAGAACGACATCAACGGTGAGTAAATGACGACAGAATCTATATTTGATTTTTTTTTTTTTAAATAAATCAATCCTTAAGGAAAGAAATAATCTGCTTTTAATGTATTTCACTATAGTCCACTTTTTAACAATACATCTGCTCTGAATTGATCGATTCGCACACATTAATTCAGTTGATAATTGTTTAGAGTCGGAGTGTTACGTCAGTTTATTCTCGGCATGTGTTTCTCATTCATCCTCTTTCTTGGCTACAAAACAACTGACCACAAAAATGAATGTACTGTCGTTTTTCATCCATTGTTTCTAACACGTATACATGTCACGAGCCATGTAAAAACATCTAATAAGCTCAAATGTAGTAAAGTCTTTTGTCTTCTGTTTTTCTCAAGGCCAAATTCCTTCCAAATCCCCTCAAATGGAGATGAAAGCGTCAGAATATCAAACCCTCAGTTGTGTTTGGGTCTGTATGGATTTGTCTCCAGGGAAAGATGATCCACAGATTCCCTCAGAAATGAAACTAGCTTGCTATCATATCAGGTTTAATCCTGTCTAGTTGTTATGTAGATCAGTAAATGTTGATGACACAGAGGAGAATTAAGGATCTAATACGGATTTGGAGGATTACATTACAGAGTGCTTGTCCTAAAAAAAATAAAGGTAAGTTTTCCTGTGAAGGATCCTGATCAATCATCAAGACATTTTAATGGCGTTTACAGCTGAAACACAAAACTCTGACACATGGATTTTATGAATATATTGACCTTAAGTGTTTGTTCTGACAGGAGAAAATTATACAACTTTGGTCTTGTTAAATCAGGGTTCGTACAGATTCTGTAAAATGAAATTCCAGGACTTTTAAAGACTTTTTTTCTCTCTATTATATATATATATATATATATATATATATATATATATATATATGTGTGTGTGTGTGTGTGTGTGTGTGTGTTATCTCTCACTTCATAGAGATCAATCCATTAACCAGCGCTGCCAGGCATGGGATACTATCCTTAAACTTCCTTATTAAAACTGATTTTGCCATGAATATATGATTGACCTGAAGAATGAAAGCTGTATTACATAGCCTACTTATTATAAACTTAATATCATGCTCATAGCCCTACATCTCAGATTAGTTTGTTTTTTAGCTAAAAAAAAAAAAGTTCAATTCAATGGCTGTTTTTAAGAGTTTTACAGGACTTCCATTTATAAAAATGCCAAATTCAAGTACTTCAAGCACCATGTACAAACCCTGTTAAATGTTTTGGTAGCAACAGCGCCAAAATATAACAAATGCAATGCTTTAAAACTATCTGAAATTTTAACCCTTTTCATTAATTCCAAAATTGGTTTACTTTAAGTGAAATCAAACTCTTGTAATATAGTAAACAATAAAGTCAGTGATCTCTCTGTTTAGTGCATTATTAGTAAAATGCGGATGTTTTGCAGACGAATCATTCAAAATATGCCGTAGACTAATGAACTTTAATACTGACTGAACCATGGCCCTGTTGAACAAAGTGCGCCACCAGGTGGTGAAGAAAGAAACTTCAAAAACATCAGTTAAACAGAGTTTAGTTGGCACAAAAAGCAAAACATGTTTACAAACAAGTGAAAAATAACAGCATTGAGGATATCACATATGACCATAATACTGCTTAACATACCACACATTTCCTTGAGTTGCACCATGAATGTTGTCTTTAAGGCCTTACAATATATAAATAAAGGTAAATATTAAGACACCTTCCAATTCCAATCTAATTCACAAGCATCCATTTTCACTCTAAACACAATTATGATCTATTCTCACAGACACGAATAACTTTCATAGACTCGTCTTTTCACTTACAGCAAAACACTCAAACAAGATCAGTATCGAGGCTAGAGTGCAATCAGTTCGCAATCTAAAATCACAGGATGGGTCGGAAATGTTTCGCTGCTCATGCATTTGAGTTCGGCTTTCAAACCAAACGAAGCAAAACCTGAAATCCAAACTGATAATGTAATGACTAAAAAAATGATCGCACCATTCACCTGTTAACCAAAAGCTCACTGCAGTAAAATAAATTAAGACCCCTGAATATACGAGTTCAAAAGCGTCCGCAGAAAAAAAGCATTTAAAGAGTAGATCATTTTTGAATAAAAATTTCCTGATAATTTATTCACCCCACATCATTCAAGAGATATCCGTGTCTGTCGAAGAACTTCGAGGAACACACTCCAGGATTTCTCCATATAGTGACTTCATTGGGGTCCAACGGGTCCAGATGTGAGTTTCAAAGTCTCGACACGATCCAGCCGAGGAATAAGAGTCTGATCTAGACAAACCAGCCCACATTTAGAACAAAATACACATTTATATACTTTTAACCACTAATACTGGTCTTGCACGCCCACAAATTCACGCATTACGTAATCAGGTTGAAAGGTCAATCTCATTTTCTCCAACAACAAAATCGTCCAACACTGATCTACCTTTTATTTATTTATTTATTTAGTTTGACTTGGTCTTTGCAGGTTCGGTTTGTAAACCCTCGGTCGGTTCTTACGCCTACGTCACGCTTGACCTTTCGTAATGTGTGTCGCATCACAGCTCGTGCAAGACCAGCATTAGTGGTTAAAAGTATATAAATGTGTATTTTGTTCTAAATGTCGGCTGTCTTGTCTAGATCAGACTTATTCCTCGGCTGGATCGTATCGAGACTTTAAAACTCACATCCGGACCCGTTGGACCCCATAGAAGTCACTATATGGAGAAACCCTGGAGTGTGTTCCTCAAAAAAACCTTAATTTCTTTTCCACAGAAGAATGAAAAACATGAACATCTTGGATGATGTGGAAATTTTTATCTACTCCTTTAACACTAGATCTTATATATCGATGGGCTTCAGCGCCGACAGCAGTTTGACCTCAGCGAGAGGGTTTCTGGGTGAACCTCGATAGCGATTAGTCTCGTTTCCAGACACTTCCAGCAGAACAGACTTGGGATGTTCATTTGTGCGTTTGGTCTTTGGCGCCTTATTGGTGACGTCTTCCAGCGTTGCGTGTCTAACCTTCGTTTTCTTCGGAGGAACTGGAGGTTTGGGTTTAGCAAACGTCGAATGCAGAGCGCTTTCTAAACTCACAGCCTTTATCTGAGTCGCAGCGGCACACCAACCCATCCGGACCTCTTTCCGACTCCCAACCAAAGAGTTCAACCGTCTCACGGACTGTCGAACCGGCGTGCGCTGGAACTTCATCGGGGAGCGCATCACTTTAGCTTTGGGCGAATCCAACGTCATCATGTTGAACCGTTTAATCTGCTCGGCCACTTTCATCCGGCGAGCTTCAGCGCCACTGGGAATGCCATCAGTCTCGTTTCCCAATGACGACGTGCTGGTGTTCGTTTGCGCTCTCGATCCGTACGGAGTTGATTGGATCGGTATGGAAGAGTCTGGTCTGAAGGCAACGGGACTTTGCATGTCTAAAGCGTCGATTAACTGACTGCATTCTGCAGGACAGCAATCCTTGCTTTCGTTTTCAAGCCAGAGAGACTCGTTAAGACTGGTTTCCCCAAACCGGGTCGTTCCGCTATCAAACAAAGCGCTGTCGATGTGTAGAGGAGACAAAGGAGCGATCTCGATGTGTCCGAATGTCACGTTGTGTGAGGTCTCCGAGGAGTTGTGCTGGTTCTGAGTGATGATGCTGTGAAGGTCACTGCCAGACTCACCGAACGCTCGTTTGATTTTCAGTAGGGTCGATCCGGACCGCTCTTCGCTGAACGACTCCTCGACGCTGAGGATCTTGGGAAGGTCGCTGACCGCCAGAGGTTCGGTCTCCGAGAACGAATCCGTCGGGCCGACATCAGGAGTGTCTCGACCCCATGAGCTCCGGTGGGTTATTGATTCACACCGAGGGGTCAAGAGGTCATCCTCCGATTTACTGAGAAACGTTGAGCCTGTCAAACAAACGTGGACGATAGAAAACTCAAATTATACACCGCTTCTGAAAGAATCTCTTCTGCTCAACAAGCGTGCGTTAATAAAAACACTAAAATAACTTTCAGTTAAAATGATGTTTTATTTAAAGGTGTCTTTGATGCACTGTAACTATAAATTTAAGTACATGTACTTACTATATAGGGCTAGGTGCATGTAATTCTGCATTATTTATAGTTTTTACTACATGTGAGACACTAAAAGAAAGTGCCATCCAAAATTACAATTTTAGTGCTAAACTATACATATGTACATGATGCTTTTTTATTCAGTTTATTAAGTTTGTTAATAATTTATGCAATTTACGACATTATATTTGTTCGTTTAAATGTTAAGCACTTTATTTCAGTAAAGTTATTTCATCGCTTTGAATAAAATTTAAAACAGGGCATTAATATTTTGCTGATTGCGCCCTCTTGTGGCCAAGAGCTGTTTAGTCCTCACTGAAATATGCCTTTTATAATATAAAATGTATTTTTTGTAATATTTAAGTAAAAAAATAGCATTTAGTTTCAGCCATTTTGATAGCCTTAATATGACTATAGTAAAGTGTAATTTATTCCTGTGATCAAATCAATCATTACTCCAGTCTTCAGTGTCACATAATCCTTCAGAAATCACTCTAATATGTTGATCAAGATACAGTACATTTATTAACAGTTCAGATTATTATGGAAACTAATTCATTTGCTTTTCAGGATTCTTTGAACATTCTTTGAAGCTCTAAAGAACAGCATTTAAATAGAATCTTTTGTAACATTATAAATGTCTTTACTGTCACTTTTGATCAATTTAATGCATCCTTGATGAATAAAAATATAACTTTGTTTTTTATGTTTGTTTAAATCTTACTTCACTTTTGAATGGTGGTGTATGACTGTTTCCACACAGATCTGAAGCAGGACCACCGTTTAACACTGATAATAATAATCATAAATGTTTGTTGATCATCAGATCCTCATATTAGAGTGATTTCAGAAGGGTCATGTGACACTGAAGACTGGAGTAATGATTGATTTGATCACAGGAATAAATTACACTTCACTATATATTCACATAGAGAACAGATGATTTACATTATAATATAATAAACTGAGCTTTTAATAAGCAAAGAGACGTAAAGTAGAAGAGATAAAATAGCCCACAGCTTTAAATATCAACATGAAAAAGCTTTTGCATCCAATTTTTCTTCTGAATTGAAACACAACATTCAATTAGAAAAATAATAATGAAGACTGACAATCCATGAGCAATAGATGGTCAGGGTGGCTGCAGGTCCTTAAAGTTTTATTAATAAGAGGCCTTCAATTATTAAAAGGTCTGGTCACGTTACCGCTATAATAACCAGTGAAGCTTCGATTCACGAAAATGATTCAGATTTTATCACATAAACAGCGATTGATAATGATAATGTGTTCCTGGTGAGACTCGCCGTCTCTGTGAGAGACTTTAAAGTGAGAAATTAAAACAAACGATCATAACACACATAAAAAAAAATTTCAATGTTCACAACGTTGATTTTTTATTCACAACGTGATATAGTAGAGTAACATAACATGGCGGGAGCTATTGTGCTGCATATTCTCACGATTGCAAATGTGATTTTAGTTCAAGTAGTTAATATGAAATCACTTAGGTTAATATTAAATATTACATATACGTTTGTGTATTTCTATCACAGATTTGGTCTTAAATTTCATTCAAAATGTAATTAAAAAGGTCTTAAAGTCTTAAATGTAACTTGTTTATATCTGTAGACACCCTGACGGTGTAGTTTTTCTCGACTTGACGCCCGCAGAAAAGGTAGTTTCAGATTAGTTTTCTTAGGAATGACATGCACTGATGAATCAATCAATCAATCAAATCACACCACAGCAATCAATCAAAACTAACTTTATCTGGACAATAACTTGATTCTAGATCTGCCTTAAAGCCTAAACACTCTCTGTTACTGTAATCTCCTGTAAGCACTGTAAAGCTGCAGTCAAACTCTCTTTATAGTTAAAAGCGCTGTATAGATGAAGACTTGATGAGTCTTTTTATATAATGAGATCAAAATGGGGTCAATTTTGATTTTTACATTTTTCTGCAACCGTGTAGGAAAAGTTTTTTAAATAAAAACCCAAAATACTGACCTTTCGATGGGCTCTCCTTCAAAACAGTCGGACTCAACTCCTTGCTGAAGTGAAAACCAGTACAGCTCTCTTGTGTTGCAAGCCGCCACCCTATGACCTCTGACCCCTTTGGCCCCAGTTGTGAATGTGTAATGAGGTTCTGTTGAAATACAGGCAGCTTCTTTTTACTCTCTTTGGTTTGTGATTGTTTGACTCATCATGTCAGTGTTGAATTATGATAATGCTTAGCTGAAAAAATAAAAAAAATACTGATTTTTGGTCAATCATCTTTTTTTATTTCAGCATATATATGCATGCATAAAATAATGACCATGTCAATAATGGCAAGGAATAACCCAAAACCACAAAGATGCATTTTAATGAGAAATGACAACGTTAAAAATTGTAAATATTAATATTTGTTTCCTCTTAAAACATTTTATTACTCTACAAGTATTTTTAGTAATATCAGGTTCTTAAATAAAATTTCCTAAAATCACAATGCTACAACATGTGCAATATTAAGCAAATCAGACAACACAAATATTAGAACAAACAAACAATCACATCACATCCATAATCATAGTGTCATAAATCTTAGCAATGGGTAAAACCATCATTTTCTTGAACGCTTAAACACTTTAAAGCACCAGATCAATCATACTCCAGCGGTCGAGCTCAGAGCCTTTCTTATTTTTTTCCCATAAAATGCACGAGTTAAACTCTCAAACCAAGGCAGTTAAATAACACATTAAAAGATTGTGATGATTATTGCTATATTCCCAGTCCTCATTAATAGCAGCATGTACCAACACTAAACCGCCACTAGATGGAGCCAGACATCAACGTGGCATAACAAAACTCCTTAATTCTGTTTACCAAGTGCTAATTACTCACCCATTAATATGTATTAATACATGAAAAATTAGATGCACATTATAAGCATGCAAATCAGGGTTGCGCAGAAAAGATGGTGGATTGTTCAGTCTCTGGTGGATGTTGACAGAGGTGATGTTTCTGAACTTACAGACTCGCGGCTGGATTTGCCCAGACTGAAGCGCAGACGCAGGGATTTCCTCACTGGCTCTTTCTTGGCGGCTCTGGGAGAGAAACAGCCGGCCTTCCCCGACTCGACTCTGGAGGCAACAAGAGGCCAATCACAGTGAGAAGGTTATTACACTTATTTCACTAATCTCATTTCATTGCTTAGAATAAACCATTTAATACGAGACACTACAGGTGCATAGGGTACTTTAACTAGCAGATATCACCGTGAAACCAGTTGATTACCAACATTAAGATGAGAAAAAAAATTACACATTTCTGTAATTTAATATTTAAATATGCAAATTAGGCATTATCCAATTAAATGTGCTAATTTGCATATTTAAAAAAAATTTGTATCAATTTTAGAATTCTGAGTATTGGATAAAGCCAGGTTAAAAATTCTTTTTTTTTCATTGAGTTCACATTACAGAAACTACAGAGGGATTTAAGGATATCTACTTTTGTTATCCTGTAAATCAGAATATACTGTAAATAGCCTTTAAAAAAAGATTTTTGGAATAAAATATTATATAAATCAGGCTATGAATATTAAATTTACAAATCCCTCTGTAAATGTCTTGAGAATATAACGAGAATATTTCTCTCTTGAGTATGAGAGAAAAATCATTTTGAGAAAACGATCTCATCAGCCAATGAGATTAAATCCCCCTTTTAATTTCACGATTGGTTGCTGATAAAAAGGAAATTACTACCATATTTGGGTGTGTGTGATGACATGGACGTGCAGATCGCGGAGCAGCGGAATGATTTTTAACGGCAACTTTTGACGAATTTATGAGAAATTACAGACGCAAACAGACGAAGCATCGTAAAATAAAGACCTAAATGTGCATTTTGTAATTTCTTTTCACCTCAAGTCTGAAAGAAGACTTGTTATTGAAGACAAATATCCCAAAATTGACAGTGAGAAAAACCCGTTTTTGCCTGCCGTTTTGCACATCTCGCCCTTTTGTGGCCTAAGGAGACGAGCAAAAGCTTTTTCCTCCTTAATTAAATTATTACATACTGGTATTTCCATTTGTTTTATAATATAATTTGCATATTCGTAGTAATATTTAAGTAAAAAAAAAAAAATCTAATTCAGTTTCAGCCATTTTGACAGCTTTAATGTGATGAAGTGTAATTTATTCCAGCGTTCAAATCAATCATTACTCCAATCTTCAGTGTCACATGATCCTTCAGAAATCACTCTAATATAAGGATCAAGAAACAATTGGTGATCAAGTCGTATTTTACAATTTTGGCGTACTTTGCATCGAGAAAAGGTCTGATGGGGTTTATGAGATGAGCTGCAGTGTTCATTTTGCGTGAAAAGATTTTCATAAATGTGAGCGTCACCACAGAACCACACTCGAGTCGCACGGGTGCATCTGTGGCGATAGCCAACAATACATTATATGGGTCAAAATTATTGATTTTTCTTTTATTCCAAAAATCATTAGGACATTAAGTAGAGATCATGTTCTATGAAGATATTTTGTACATTTCCTACCATAAATATATATAAATAAAGTGGATGCAGCAAAATCGCAAACATAAATGCACAACTTTAAAGGCGATTTTCTCAATGTTTTGATTTTTTTTTTGCTTCCTCAGATTCCACATCTTCAAATATTGTCCTATCCTAACAAACCATACATCAATGGAAAGCTTATTGGTTCAGCTTTATATGATGTATACATCTCAATTTAAAAAGAAATGAAGATGAGAATGTGTGTTGTACCTGTTGACACTGCGGTCTCTGCGTCGCCGGCTCTTCCTCCGGGCAGAACTGCAGGACAGACGAGAGTTCCTGCCCACAGAGGACAGAAGACCACCGCGAGACGAGTCCAGAGCCGCGCCGGCACTGTGTGCTGAGAGAACGCCACAGGGAACAGGTCAATAAGGTACCAGACGCTGTGCTGTATCGTGAATGGGTCCCGGCTGAAGGGCCTTGTTAGCACGACTTACTCACGATACAGCACTAGCCTCGAGCACCTTATTGCTTTTATACTACGCTTACCACACAATATAAATATTAAAGCTGAAAAATATGCATCTATGCAACTTTCATGAAGTAAAATCACTAAAATTATCTTAAAATTAATCCTATAGGAAACCGGCAGCCTTAGTTGAAGTGGGGTTGTCCTAAAGTTATGACATTTTTTAGGATTTGTTGAAGTTAGTAAGCTTCCGCAATACCCTTTTCCCGTAGTTACTAGTTAAGGTAAGATTATGCACTTAAGAAAAGTCATTTTATTAATGGCTAACAAACAGATAAGATAGGATTCTAAAGTTACGTTACGTCCATATTTTTTTACAGTCTATGCCAATATGTCATGGAGCTCACCTGATCCAGGTGTAGACGCTCCTCCAAACAGAGCGTTGGGGAACAGCTCCAGGCCCAGGTTCTTCTTGATGGACCTGCGCTTCTTGTTGGAGAAGCCATGAGTGTGTGCCGACTCCAGCGGGAGCTTACGCTTGGAGTTCGGCGTTACGATGACCGGAGTGGCCATGGAGAAAACTGAAGGAAAAAGACACGAGTTCACTCAACGAGTTATTGAAGGAGATTCACGTAATTCTTCCATACGAGCTCAGGCTATAGAGTCGATACAAGGGAATTAAGCTCGAGCCAGAAGCGTCAGATTGACAAGCAAAGATGTGCGTGCGCGACTGAGAATAGAGCAGAAATCATTTAACCCTTGTGCGACCTTATGGACTTTTCTTTTATCGTTCTGCCTGTGTTCGTGTCCAACTACATACATTTTGGCACAGGTGTGTATTACATTGGAATTTTACTATTTCAACCGGGTTAACGGCCAAACAAACTTACTGAGAGCTCATTTTTGAAACATCAAACTCAAATTTAGAACATATTTAGATTCATGGGTTTGATTTTTCTAGCTCAACATATACAAATGTTACTTATTAAAATGTATTTTTTTACAACAGTAATCTGCCACGGGTCTTATTTAAAAATGAGACCAAACTTAAACTTTAAAGGGTTAGTTCACCCAAAAATGAAAATTCTGTCAGTATTTACTCGCCCTCATGTTGTTCCAACCCCGTAAGACCTTCGTTCATCTTCGGGACACAAATTAAGATATTTAAGATATTAAGATCGCTCCATAGGCTTCTTGAGGGAATGGCTCTTGCTGTCCCCGAAAAGTCATTAAAGACATCGTTAAAATAGTCCAAGTGACTACAGGGGCTCAATCTTAACTTTATCAAACGACTAGAACACTTTTGTGCGCAAAAAACAACAAAAATAACGACTTTATTTCAACTATTCACTTCCTTCTCCATGGGCCTGTAAGTCAGTTAACGTAGTGTGATTGCGTAAAGCTACGTCACACGAAGGCTCACTATTGGCCGACGCTGGTCATGTGTGTGATGCGTGTGACGTACAATAACAGAAGCTTATGCTATTAAACTAGTAACCTGACTCGCGCAGAGGGAGAAACAAACAAATAGTTGAAATAAAGTCGTTATTTTTGTTGTTTTTGCGCACAAAAGTGTTCTCGTCGTTTGATAAAGTTAAGATTGAGCCCCTGTAGTCACTTGGACTATTTTAACGATGTTTTTAATGACTTTTCGATGCCAGCAAGAGTCATTCCCTCAAGAAGCCTATGGAGCGATCTTAATATCTTAAATATCTTAATTTGTGTTCCGAAGATGAACGAAGGTCTTACGGGGTTGAACAACATGAGGGTGAGTAAATACTGACAGAATTTTCATTTTTGGGTGAACTAACCCTTTAAGTCTGTGCTCCCAAACTTCAGTTTTTATGGCATTTTTGTCCATTGTGGACATATGTGTAACTTTTTTTTTTTAATTAAAGCACAAGGGTTAACCAAAAGTAGAGGGAAAATATTCTCACAAGTGCCAAAAGACAAACACTATGCCGTGCCAATATGTGAACAGAGTGTGCAGACACAAAGCCATCTCAAACTCAATTAAGAAACACGTGCTCATTACATTAACGAAGTGAAGACGAGAAACCCTGGAGCGGATCTGATGAGGACGTTACCCACCTGCTCCATCAGACTGAGGGGTATTTGTTGGGGTTCTACTACTTTTAAACCTATTCAGAGCTCCATTTACCACATCTGGAATACAAAACAAACCCACTCAACTAAAACAACTCGGATTAAATGCCTTCAAATCCTTATTACATGCTTCGTACAGAAACTGCTAAATAAAATTCAAGGACTTTAAGCACTACTTTTTTAGTTTTCAAGGACAACAATCGGAGATCTCACTTATTAAACAATGTTTATTATGTTTCAAATTATAAAAAGGTAAATATATAAATAAATACAACAAAATGGTACAAATAAAGTACAGCACATGAAATAGCTGAAACATTAAAACTGTTTTTTTTTCTCCCTTAAAGGGATACTCCACTTTTTTTGTAAATAGGCTCATTTTACCACTCCCCCAGAGTTAAACAGTTGGGTTTGACGGTTTTGAATGTTTTCAGCCGATTCTTTGATATTTAGATGAATATCAGTAACCACAGAGTTTCTGGTCTCATTGACTTCCATAGTATATTTTTTTTCCTACAATGGAAGTCAATGAGACCAGAAACTCTCTGGTTACTGATATTCTTCTAAATATCAAAGAATCGGCTGAATGGATTTGAAAACGCTAAAACACGACTGTTTAACTCTGGGGGAGTGGTAAAATGAGCCTATTTCCAAAAAAAGTGGAGTATCCCTTTAAATGTATAATAAACCTGAATAAATAAAGCTGTATCGTATACTTTATTATATGAGCAATATCACGCTCATAGCTAGTGGCTCTATATCAATGTCAGATGGCTGTGAAAAGATTGTTTTATCAATAACATAAAACACTATTTTCTAATATAGCGTATTTTCTTCCAATACTCCAAGCACTTTTCAGAAATATGGCTGTTTTCCCAAACTTAAATGTCAAAAAGTCAAATTCAAGCACGAAAACTACTTGTACGAACCCTGTTATTAACCGTAACCACTTCCCTTCAAAGCAGTCATGTGATGAAACTGATCGAATGACCCTTTAGACACGTTTCTTACCTCCTAAACTGCGTCTGTTGCTTTTCTTCAGGTCTGAGTGAGCGTTACTCTCCTCTAGAGACACCGACGCTGGAGAAAACACAGCAGCATCACAACCCAACATGGCTGGAACCTTCTCCATCAGGAACTGAGGAACCGCACCTGTGGATGACAACAACAGGGTTCGCTTTACTGTTCTTATTGCTTTTCTCTGGATTAACCGAGTACATATTAAATGTATCATGTTATATTTACATCAGGGTTTCTCAAACTGGAATTGGTGTCAGTAACACTCCGTTTACTTCCTGTCTCTATGAAGCCCCTCCTCCTGAAAAGCACACTGTGCTCTGATTGGTCGAGCACTTCGAGTGTGTTTGGAAATGCCCCGCCCCTTTCCATAACCGCCAGTTTAACACACTACTAACTAACTCGCCCCTTTATTCTGCGTATGAATTATTATAATGAGGAAAATTGTGACGTGTTCAAAACACTGACACTGATATAGAGGAGAACTGGAGCTTTCTCATGATCACACAGCAACAATACACACTAAACACAGATGAAGATGTAAAAAAAAAGTTTAAATCTCAGAGGGACTTCAAGTAAATATCAAGTCTATATTTTATATAAATGTGTCCAGCTGACTAAAAAAGGTTTAAGAACCCCGTACGGATTAATAGTGATGAAGTGTGTGTGTTAGGGCTTACACACACCCAGGTGTTGAGCGTTCTCTATGAGGCACTGCAGAGCCGCCGCCTGATGCTTCAGTCTCTTCTCCGTGTTGCTGCTCATCTTTTCTCCACCGTCGCCACAGTGGAAGAGATTCGGCGCAAAGATGACCGAGAGATTACTGCTGTCCATCTTATTCTCAGCACATCTGAAACGAAGGAGCAACACACACACACACACGCATGTGAACACAAAGGAAGTCATTATCTAGTAGTGGTGGAACGGATCACAACACTTACGGTTCAGATCATTTACTGTTTTTGAGCCATGGATCGGACCTTTTTGTTTTTACTAAGGTTCAACCCATATTAACTCTTTCACCACCTCTTCTGCATTTAAAATTGTTTTAATGTTTAGAAATTGGCAAGACAAAACACGTGCAAATTATAAACTTTCACTCTATGATGGTTAATTTAGAAGTTAATCCACGAATCAAAAGCGTGCTGAATCATGATCAACCGCGACCCTGTTAATTAGCATAACGAGAGATTTGAGCAGAACGGCGTACCGCTGAGAGACGGTCTTCAGGAAGCTGAAGAAGTAGCGCAGCGTGTTGAGATTCCTGTCGGGCAGCACACAGGACAGCAGGACCGTGGCCGAGGTGCGCTCGTCCTCCGAGGGCAGCTCCTGGGCCTTCAGGAAGCCGGCGTGCAGGTCTGTGGTCAGGACCGGCTCGGGAAGCTCCCGGAAGAACTGCTTGAGGAGGCCAGCGATGTCCAGCGGGAGCGCCGTGGGGAGGCCGTCCTCGCCCTGGTCCAGTTTGGCCTGCGGGTCACAGAGACACACACCCGCTGTGTGAGAACACCATCATCAGAGTCTGCAAGAGGAAGTGTAAGAAAGGCCATCACTCACCCGGAGGCTCTTGACCCGCACCACAGAACCGGACTTCCTGAACAGGCCCTCCGTGTCCAAATGATCCATGAGACACGTACAAGCATCGACTATAAAGCTGGAAGACAACGAGACACAAGAACTATATAAATAAAAAACACATTTAAATAAATATACAATTACAATAGTAATGAAATATATGGCACATAAATATATTTATTTTTATTATTTTTTTTAGGTTTTAAGTAAAAAATAATACTAATATAGGGAAAATACTAGGGCAACAAAAAACAAACGTAAATAATAATTAAATTATGGAATATAGGGCAAATAATTAAAATTTAAACCATAAATATAAAGTAATAAAATAACACTAAAATATGGGAAAATGTTAAATAATTAACATATATTACTATCATTTTATGGGGAAATATAGGGCAAATAAATAAAATATAAAACTAATAAAAATAAACAAGTGATCAAATAATACTAAACTATAGAGAAACAGGGCAAAAATGTAAATAAAAAAAATGGTAAAATAGGGGAAATAATTACCATATAAATTATAGTAAAAAGGAAATATTTGGCAAATAAATTATAATAAAATCAAACAACAATATAGGGAAAAACTAAATTAAATAAAATGATGATTATAATAACTTATAGGGCAAATAAAATAATAATTAAATATATGTGAAAAGATTAAGTATTTTTATTAAATAATTTATACACATAGATTTGACTACCATTTTATAGGGAAGTATATAAAATAGATGTACAAATGTAACAAATATATTTATAGGGCAAATATAAAAAATAATAAAATAAAAAGGGCATAAATAAAAAAAAATAATCATAACATTTAATTAAAAGAAAATTATATAATTAAAGTAAATGTCCAAAGAATCAGGCAACATTTGGATTTTTTTAATTATTATTTTAGTAGGCATATTTTGTTTATCCTTTTACTGCATGGTTAACTGGCCAACCACATTCCACGGCTGAACTGAAAACAACTCAAGATCAATCATGCATGCCTCAATTTACAGCCATTCGCACCTAGAGATTGCTGTGGGTGTGGTGTGGACATCGTTATGCCTCAAAAGATATTGCAAGTATGTGAAAAATGGTGCCGTGAAAGTCGAGACATGCACTTACAGGCATCGTTCACCCCAACATGAAAAGGTAAAGGGTGACAGAAACCCCTAATTTCATAATCTTTAAGCTCTTACAAACAAACATTAAAAAGCATCTGTGTGCAAGCCAGTAAATGTTGGTCTCCCTCAGTCTTACCAGGGTACGTCTCCGTAGTCCAACACGTGACAGTGTGGCAAACCTTCGAGCGCGACGCCAAACACCCTCGCCTAGAAGCACAAGGAGGATCTGTTCAGGTGAGGATGGAGAACTGAACAGGAGAAGCTCTGTGTGTTTGAAAATCAACAGCACTTCCCCTTCACTTACACTGGCATCAAGAAATGCCCACAAATTACTCTCATCATGAGACCAGAATCAAATGGATAAGAGTCTTGTTGTGACTGTTACGCAATTAATCTTTCTATGATTTTGCAACCATAAATGTGATGTATATATTAAATGTGTGTATTTTCAACATTAAATGTACAGAGTAATGCAGACTGAAGATGCTGAGGTCAAAGGTCATATGGTGCATTTGAGAAAGCCAATTATTATTATTTTTTTCATAAATGCAAAGTCACACACAAGCCATACACACACATCAGCATAGAATAGGTGTTTTGCACTGTAAATGGGTTATTGCAATAATACATTAATAAAGTATTGATTTTTTTTATTTTTAAACATATTTTTGTTTTTAAAGGGATAGTTCACCCAAGAAAATACAATTGTGTCTGTACTTTACATTACCATATGGTTGATGGCACCCATTGACTTCCATTATAGGAAGAAAAATACCATGGAAGTCCATGGGTGCCGTCAACAGTATGCTTAAAAACATTAGCTAATTAAAATACATTCTTGTGTGTTCAACAGAAGAAAGAAACGCATACAGGTTTCGAACAACTTTAGTGCGAGTAAATTATGACAGAATTTTATTTTTTTAGGATGAACTGTCCCTTTAAGATGTGTTGATTCATCTTTTTATTACAGTGAACCACGTGAACAGGAAGTTGATCAACCTTAACAAATGAGAAAAACATTACACAAACCAACTTCAACTACTGAATATTGACCATTAATAATAATACTAAATACACAAAAGTCTGGTTGCAGAGCAATTGTCGAATCAAATAGTTTTCATTCCTGGTTATTGTTAATAAATTTATGGAATCACAATCCTGCAAGAAAACTGTTTCTGTCCAGCGTTTATATAATGAAATTAGAGGTTTAATAAACTCACCGTGTTCGCCGATGTCTGTTTGTTTCTGTTTTTATTCCAGTTTTTAATTTTAATCCCATAAACGGACCGAAGATGCTGAACTACTGCCAGACGAAGCACATTTCTCTCCAAAACCTTCATAATGACGTCTAAAAATCGTTAAAACGACTCGAAATATGAGGAATATAGATTAAAGCGTGCTTTCAGTTTAAAAACAAGCACAATAAATGTTGTGGATGTGATGAATAAACAAACTGATGGTTAGTTTACTTTTCCTCGACACATTTCAATAAAAACAACCGATCAAAGTCACCAAACGCATCTCATATTAGGTTTCCAGGATGTGCTGCGCGTAAACATAATTTTATAAAATAAAATAATAATATTTTTTCGCCATTTAAATCTAGTGTTTGTTTCTGTGTGTCCGCTTGCTTTATTTCCCGTCTTCACAACGGCAGCTCGGAAAAAGACGTTCAAATTTCGCCCTGCCTACGTCACTCAGGCGTTTCCAGCACTCTGATTGGGTTGCGAGTAGTCACGTGTTGGTTCAGTCTGAGATGACCCCGCCCCCCTGCAGCGTGACACGCGTGATTAATGCCCAGCAGATGTTAAAGCGACAGTGCAACATAATATCGCACTCCTTTCCTGAACAACTGCAGCGCCAGTGCTGAAAGCTTGAGATAATAGTCCATATCAGAGGAACTGGAGATTAAAAACAAAGGTTAATTTGACAAACTTTGCAAATCTATTTTATAGTGCTAGGCAACGATTAATCTGTGTATAATTATTGTGTGTATAAATAAATAAACACAAATGCATGTATTTATTTAAGAAATATTTGCATTTATATACTCTATTTATATTTATACATTATTTATATTATATATAAATAACACATTTTTCTTAAATATTGTGTGCATGTGTGTGTACTTATATGTACTATACAATTATACTTTGCCCAGCACTACTATTTTACCATAATGCTAGTTAGTTAGTTTTGCATTACTGATGCCATACAGTGCACTATATATATATATATATATATATATATATATATATATATATATAATCTTAGTTTAGGAAACATGTTTTGATATTTTGCATTATGAGTGCATTATATTTTTAGTTTAGGAAACACACTGTGATATTCTTTTAAGAACTTATGTTAACATGGTGGTGCATATAATTATTATCCAGTACCATATCATGTATAGTAACTTGCTTTTACCCCTTTGCATCATTTCTCAAATGCATTGCACAGGCCAGTGATCACTCAAGACACGGTAGTCTATAATCAGTTATCTGTTTTTATTACAACATTACATGTATATACAGTAAAAGAGACAGTACAAATGTACGGCTGAGACTGAGAGATTGTTGTTTGTTTAGAAGCACTTCCTGTGGACGATGGAAGGACCGGCCTCGTCGTACTCCTGCTTGGTGATCCACATCTGCTGGAAGGTGGACAGGGAAGCCAGGATGGAGCCGCCGATCCAGACGGAGTACTTACGCTCAGGAGGAGCAATGATCTGGAGAGAGAGAGATGGGGTTAAACTCTGAGCAACCACTGCATATACACAATATATACTTCAAAAGCATTTCCCTCGGGACATTTTGATCAGAATTGTCATCAAAAGGGGCCAAGAAATCAGACTTTTGTTGCACTTGAACCACAAGTACACACACACACAAAAGAATGGATTGGAGGAGTTTTGTATTTGACATTAAAAAAAGTAACAAATCCTTCCCTCGATTTGAATGCTTCAGTACACACCGAACATGAAAAAATGCTCAAAATTCAGACTAGAAATGCTAAAACTTTACCAATAAATGATTTATAATATCTGCCAGCCCATCTAGAGTCATGAAATACCATGTTATATTATTATTTGTCCACAAGAGGTCGACAAAGACTACAAAATGTAAGATATTTAGAGCTGAATTAAAAGTTGTGCATGAAACTGAGAGTTATTTTGAATTTAAGTGGAAAGAATGTGAGGTGAAGTGCTTAAATTACTAGATATTCATTTATATATATGAAGAGTTCAGATGCAAAAGCCTCTAGAATGATAATTTTTATCAAGCTTGTATATTTAAGTTCAGTAATTTCACTTAAATAGCAATGAAGATTACCTATTAATTGTTATTTAAGTGAAATTACTGAACTTAAATATACAAGTTTGATAAAAATCATCATTAAAAAAGAAAATTTCAAATGGCATTTAGAGGCTTTTGCATCTGAACTCTTCATATATATATATATATATATATATAATAACTAAAAATAAATAATTATTAGGGCTTCGGCTAATTGTCACCCGCGCGGGAAAGACGTGCAAGTTAACAAAGTGGGGGAAAGTTAAACTTTAGCTAATGCTTTAATCGCCTGTATATGTGTGTGTGTGTGTGTGTCTCACCTTGATCTTCATGGTGCTGGGAGCCAGAGCAGTGATCTCCTTCTGCATGCGGTCAGCGATACCGGGGTACATGGTGGTTCCACCGGACAGCACGTTGTTGGCGTACAGATCCTTACGGATGTCAATGTCGCACTTCATGATGCTGTTGTAAGCGGTCTCATGGATGCCAGCGGACTCCATACCTGAGGTGAGAGAGAGAGAGAAGGTGAGTTTCAGCCCATCACAGGTGAGCACACACCTGAGGAGCAGCGGGAGGACACGCACCGATGAAGGAGGGCTGGAAGAGGGTCTCGGGGCACCTGAAACGCTCGTTGCCGATGGTGATCACCTGGCCGTCGGGCAACTCGTAGCTCTTCTCCAGGGAGGAGGAGGAGGCTGCGGTCGCCATCTCGTTCTCGAAGTCCAGAGCCACATAGCAGAGCTTCTCCTTGATGTCGCGCACGATCTCACGCTCAGCTGTGGAGACGCAACAAGGTGTGTGTGTGTTACTTCGCGGCTCTCGCACCTGATACACACCTGTGGCTGTGCTGTAAGTGTCGCTACTCACCGGTTGTAACGAAAGAGTAGCCTCTCTCAGTCAGGATCTTCATGAGATAGTCAGTCAGATCGCGACCGGCCAGATCCAGACGCATGATGGCGTGGGGAAGAGCGTAACCCTCATATACGGGCACGTTGTGGGTCACACCGTCACCAGCGTCCAGCACGATACCTGAGGACACGCGATCAGACAGGTCAGGTGACGTCAGCGGTGCATCGGTCACACACACACAGCAGTGTCGTTCATGGAGTCTGAAATGTTTCAGTTGGACGTTCTAACGTTTTGAAATGATACATTTCCAGAGAACATTCGAATTTGAAGAATGACGCAATGGAATGTTCATTTAAAGTAGAAGAAAAAAAAGGATGTTTTTCACGTGACACGTTCTTAGAATATAATTGTTTAATGAATAACACGGGCTTAGTCAAACATTAATGCTAAGAAATGTGTACAGGATTCCAATTTGATTTTTTTTAATGATAATTTGGAAACGATCCTAATTGAAATCAGGGTTATTACTGTTAACTTAAACCATTTTAAAAAACGTGATGCTGATACTGGAAATATATATAAAAAGTATTATAAGTGCTAACTAACTATCATATTAGATCCTACTGGATTCAAAAAATAAGATTCTACAGGATTTTGATGAAAAAAGGTCTCAAAAGCTTTCACAGGGCGACATATTTTCAAAACGTTGTATAATATGCACTCTGCCCTTTTGCATCTCTAAGATATATGCACCTTTTATGAGTAAATATGCTTTTGAAAGGTTCCCATCCCAATACTTTTTTTAAAACTGATTTGTCTCATTCTGTGTTGTCTAGGAGTGTGTGAAGAGTGTTGGTGACTGACCAGTGGTACGGCCAGAGGCGTACAGGGACAGCACAGCCTGGATGGCCACATACATGGCGGGAACGTTGAAGGTCTCAAACATGATCTGCAAGAGGAAAGACTCGGTGTGATGAAGCCTGTGAGGGTGTGTGAGGCTCGTGTGTGTGTGTAGGTCTCATCCGTACCTGAGTCATCTTCTCCCTGTTGGCCTTGGGGTTGAGTGGGGCCTCGGTGAGCAGGGTGGGGTGCTCCTCGGGGGCCACACGCAGCTCATTGTAGAAGGTGTGATGCCAGATCTTCTCCATGTCGTCCCAGTTAGTGATGATGCCGTGCTCAATGGGATACTTCAGGGTCAAGATACCTCTCTTGCTCTGAGCCTCATCACCGACGTAGCTGTCCTTCTGACCCATGCCGACCATCACACCCTGAGCGAGAGAGCGTAGAGGTTTAGTGAGTCTGATCAACACACACCACACACAAACTTTCATGCACTGCTCACTTCTTAGGGCCATTTGGCTTTTCATTACTGCAGTAATAAGATGCATTCAAATACTTTTATAATGCATTATACACTCTAATGAGTCAAACGAAATTAAACAAGAAATTGGGAATTTATCCAAATTTGTGTATGTGAGGGAATGTGTTTGACAACGTGTATTTAATTAGGCAATGCATTTGAAAATGCATAATGTATAATGCATCATAAAAGTATTTTAATGCATTAATTATGCCCCGTAATGCATCTACAGTGCAACCGCAGTTATAATACATCATAGCAGAAAGTATAAAACGCGTCAAACAACCAATTTCAGATGTAATGAGTCTGTGAATATTACAGTATAATGCTTTTTAACTTTATTTATGAAACTGTGTAATGCATTATGACTACTTTTATACTGTATTATAGATAAAGGCTTGTTATCTGCATATTTAATTAGACTATGCTTTCGAAAATGCATATTAACACTTTAATGTGTAATCATTGTTTGGTCTCATGAAAAATTGTAACAGTATAGTGCGTCAAAAAAATGCGATATAACAAAGAATCGGAATATTATAATGCATTTTTAACTTTATTTGTGAAAATATGTAATGCATTATGACTCCCTTGATATTGTATTATAGATAAAGGCTTTACGTGTTACCTGTTATCTAATTATATTTAATTAGACTATGCTTTCGAAAACACTTTAATGTATAATGCATTATGAAAGTGTTTTAATACATTAATTATGCCTTGTTATGCATCTTATAACTTATTGTTTGGTCTCATGAAAAAATTGTAACAGTAGTGCATTAAATCTGAATTGAATATTACAATGAATTTTAACTTTATTTGTGAAAATATGTAATGCATTATGATGCACATTATGACTACCTTTATAATGCATTATAGATAAAAGTGCATATTTGATTATATAATGCATTAATTTGCATATTTAATATCAAAAAACGTGTTGCAATTCTTACAGTAATCATTATAGTGAAATCTAATGATATCAGTGGTGTGGTGTGTTTGAGTGTATCCCCTGTGTTATCGTTGTCTGCAGAAGTGTTGCACCTGGTGACGGGGTCTTCCAACGATGGAGGGGAACACAGCACGGGGAGCGTCATCTCCGGCAAACCCAGCCTTGACCAAGCCAGAGCCGTTGTCACACACAAGGGCGGTAGTTTCCTCGTCGTCGCACAT